ACAGTTACAAGTGGAGACTTCCACGCGGTTCTCGTGACTGCTGATAGAACAGAAAATCAGCAGTGACGCAGAAAAAGTCAACAGGACATCTGTCCCAGAGGAAAAAGAATTTCTGTCCACATGAAACCTGTATACATGTGTGCATAGCAGCTTTACTGATTTCAGTCAAAAACCGGAGCCAGCTGGTTAAATAGTGCGTGAGCTCCTAAATCAACAGTGCTCTAGCTGGGCCGAGCAGTGCAGCTCAGTAACGTGGTATTAGAGATGTGCACCGTCTGTGTGATCCTCAGGGAAGCATTCAGAGAAGAAAAACAGACAGTCCTAAAAAGTTACAAACTGTGTGGTCTCATTTAGAAATATGTTACCTTGAAATGGTAACATCTTGCCTTGAAATGACGCAGTTAAAGATTGGAGAGCAGATTGGCAACGCAGGGAGAGGGCAGCACGAGAAATCCACCTGGTGACGGGACTCTGGATCCTGACCGCACCGAGGCTCCCTCGCTCTGACACTGCAGTTTGCAGATGAAGCTATCCGAGGGGGCAGGCAGAGTACACACGCTCCCTACCACGGGATATGAGTTAGCCTTTCAGAGATGGAAGTACCCTCTCATTCTGCACACGGATGAACTTTAAGGTATCGTGCTAAGCAGAATAACTCAGTCTCAAGGAAACAAAAACTTCACAGTTACATGAGGTACTGAAGTAGTCAAATTCACAGAAACAGAAGGCAGAAAGGTGACGCCAGGGGCTGGGCTGAAGAGAACATAGGAAGTCATTTACTGAGAGTTCCAGTTCTGCAAAATGAAAGGCTGTGGAGATGGATTGCATGGAAATCTGAACACACTTCGTACTGCTGAACTGTGCACTTTAATGGTTAAATGGTACATTTGTTATGGCTTTACCAGAATTTTTTAAAAATTGGTTATTTTTCCCTTTACTAGAAAAAGATTCAAAAATAAAATTACAATAACATGCCATACCAGCAAAATCTATAACGTGTCTAAGAATTAGCTGAGCCTACAAAGAACCACCGTGAAAAAGTATATTTTAAAAGCCATAATACTGAGCAAATAAGACCCCTTTAATAAATGATAAAACAGTCTCCACTTTTGTGCAGAATTAATGTGGAAAGAAATCAATCCTCTCCAAATTGCTTCATAAATTCAGTTTAACCTCAATCAAAATCCCACATGTAAAATGTAAAACGTGTACAAAGTATGTAAATGTGTATTAAAAATTAAAGACCCAAGAAGAGTTGCACCCGCCTTGGTGGGGAGAGTCTTCCCGGGGTCCCCAGCAGGAGTCCGAGAACTTTCCCCTCCTGCTTAGTTGTTGTCTCTGTGCAGGCTGAGGAAGCCCACCCAGTGCATCTCTGCTCCCAGCAACCTTAGCTTCTTCCCTTTGTGAGTGCTCTGTGCCCCCACCTGCTGCACACCACTGTTCATGCTGTCCACCTTCTGTTCACCCACCGTGCTGCCCATGCAACCAGGACAGGTGCTGCTTGCTTTCAGCCTCAGCCAGAGAGCAAAGGGCAGGTGAGGTCAGGGTTTCCCACCTGTGCTGACCCCGTCTGTGCTGACCCCAGGTCTGAAGTCCCTGCACAGAAGGGCACTGCACCCAGTGAGTTTCCCACAATGCAGGACTTGCTCTCCCTTGAGCTCTGGCCCTAGCCTGACCTTGGCTGCACCAGTGCCAGGCTACTGTGCTCCACCCACTTCCTTGTAAATACTACCTTGTAAATAAATTCTCTTTGAAGTGTCCTACCTTGAGTGTGCCATCTGATGGGTTTTCTGGTTTTGTTTTTGTTTGCTTGTTTGTTTTGTCTTTTTGAGACAGGGTCTCACTATGCAGTTCAGGCTGGCCTTGAACTCACTTTGTAGCCAGGCTGGTCTCAAACTTGCAATGATCCTCCTGCCTCAGCCTCCTGAGTGCTGGGATTACAGGCATGTGCCATCATGCCCAGCCTGCCATCTAGTTTTGTAAAAGTCTCAGACAGGTCATAAGCTTTTTCTTCATTCGCCCCATACCAGGCTGGCCAGGAGCTCTCCAAAGCCTCCCGTGAAGTGGAAGTGTCAGGGCCTGAGAGCTCCTGCCTGGGAGCACTCTCTGTGATGTAGGTGTCCTCCACCTCAGTGGCCCTGGGGACCACCAAGAAGAGCAGAAAGCTCTGAGGAGGAAATCCTACGCCTCACTTCATGGCATCGTGGGGGCTCTAAGAAGCGGCAGGCACTCTTCCCCAAAACAAAGAGGAGTTAGGTACAACTCTGCCCTCACCTGTCATCTGATTTGCCGAATTTTATTTGGAAACAGAATTGTTCAAACAAGTGGTCTGAAAACAACTGCGCTGAACTTAAGTGTTAATCCTTGTCTGTTCCTTTCACATGAATGTGAGCATGGGCAGGCGGCCAGCATGAACCTGGAACCCACAATCATGTTCTCCTTCAGCAAAATATCAGAGACTGTGCCTTCCCATGTATTTGGATTTTCCTTCCACTTTCCCTGTTGGTCAAAGGAGAACCGCAAACTTGGGATCAACCCCTTTCTCTAAGGCACTGTTATCTGCCCCAAGAGTTACAGGAAGTTCCTGCCCAGGCATAGACTCAGTTCTCTCACGCATGGACAGACAGTTGGGCTCGATGACCTCAAAGTCCACTCATCTAGAGTTCAGCTTCTAAGTGAACAAGACATGAGAGGGGAGAACCACTCCTGTGCCACTTGGATTAGGTATAACACAAAAGCGCTCTCTCTCTTTCTCTCTCTCTCTCTCTCTCTCTCTCTCTCTCTCTCTCTTTCCTCCCTCCGCTTGCCCCCTTTCTCACTCTTTCCTACCCACCTTCTCCCTCTCTTCCTCATGCACACACACACAGCCACCCCCTTTGTGGGGCACCTTTCAGGTCCACATCCCACCCCCTCACACAGTCCTGGAGTCAGCCCAGCCTTACCACCTCCCTTCTCCAGCATTCCTTCCACTGTGGAATGGCGCTGGGGCTCCCTTTTGCACTTAAAGAAAATCCAGCTTTCTAGGTCCCAGGACACTTACCTAGCACTTTGTCCTATTGATCCCCTAGAACCCTTTCTCCTTTCTCCTCCAAGGCAAGGGTAAGATTTCCCCATGAGAATAATCTTCATGGCTGACCTGATGGCACCTGTGGACTGGAAGCTGTCCAATTAGCTATCTCGTCCCCCAAGGATTCTGTCCCTTTGATGTCCAAGGCTGTGTCCAGACCCCTTCTTGTGTGTGGATTCACCTTCAAAGCTGCCCAGGTATAGACAAGACACAAAGCCCTACCCTGAAGTTCAAAAGCAACTTGCTTTCTCAAATCCAAAACCAAGACCAGAGAAAGAGAATGTAATAGAGAGCCAGAAAATTTTGCAGGGATTAATTTTGATACTATGTTTAGCAGTTAACTTCCCCACATCACTCTGCTTCTTCCTAGGCCCTTTGGCCATGCTCAGAGAATAACTATTTGAGCATTTTCCCTCACACTGACTTCTTCCCAAACTCTTTGCAGAAGAGCTGCCCTAATCAGAAAGATCCTGCTAAAGAAACCACGGATGTGGTGGAGAGCAGGTCACTGCCTGGAAAAGCACTGAACATCTTCGGAATGCAATTTGTATGAACAGCTTTGCCCACTCTCCCTCCAGGCCCTGCAGGCACAGAAACAGTCTAGGGGCTGAAAGCTGTCATCCCCGTGGACACCCTGCTACCCAACCTCCCATGGTAAGAACCACAGGAAGTTCTACACGCGATCCGATCCCTTCCCCGGCCACGCACTTCCTAATCTCACCTGCTCCCACTCCAGCACCCACAAACACACAAACCCATCCACATCCCTTTTTCTCTCTCCTCAGTCTCAAGTTGATTCAATGCATGTTTTCTTTTCCTTTTTCTTTTTTCTCTCATGTCTGGTTTCTTCTCTTTGCTGGCAATTGAGTTCCCAACTCTAATTCCAAAAGCAATTCCACAACCCAAATTTCAGTGCCCAGCAGTCATCTGCACTGGGGAAAAAAATGGCACCAGGTGCTTTTCTCTCCTCTGTGGGTGAAAGTTATCCCCACAGCAGATGTCCCTCAGATTTGGGGTAGCAGGGGATGGAAAGGTGACCTTTCAGAGAGGTGTCACTCACCTGCATGCTGCTTACTCCAGCTCAGTTAGAAAAAGTCCCTAAAAAGAATTTATTCTTTTCAATCTGTGATATGAAAGGAAATAATCAGCTTCTTATGGGGTCACCGTGAAAACAAAAATGATGCAAACATAAAAGCAACTTGGTCCATGGCCGAGCCACTGTAAGCACCTGGCCACGTCCCCTTCCCAGTTAGACTATGGAAGAAACAACCTGCTAGAATCAGAAATCTGAGATCAGTTGCTGAATCCTGGCTTCCTTTCTCATTTTTTCCCAGTGCTCTACTGCTGAAATACACCCCCAAGCCTTTGATCCTGACTTTCTGAAGGGCTCCCTCAGGGTTGTAATAAAGATCAAATAATATAAGCACATAGCCAGGCATGGTGGACACATCTGCAACCTCAGATGTCTGAGGCAACAGGATTGCCACAAGCTCAAAGCCGGCCCGAACTACATAGCAGGACCCTGCCTCAATAGTAATAATAATAATAATAATGCATATAAAGCAGCTCCCTGCCTGATGCCTGGCCCAGAATGTTAAACAACTAGTGACAGTAAATGTCACCATTGTGGCCTCAGTGTTTGCTGGGCATGTTCTGAGCCACGTACAGGTATGAGAATTCATTTAACCCTCATAAGGCCTCGTGTGAGTTGAGCTAACTCCTAGACCCTCCCTCTTCCTTACTCTGACTCCATCCCACCATCTTTTGCTTTCTTCTTATGAATTGTAACTTCAAAAACTGCCCCCACTTCTGTCATGTCTGGATGAGAAACAGGAAGAGGTACTGACTTGTTACTCAGGCAGGAGAGCATCAACCCCAGCCCCTCGGGCCTGTGTTCCTTCCCCCAGGGCCCAGGAAAAGACACGTGAAAATAAACAATTCCTCCAGAGTTTATTTCTCAGGAATGCTCACCAGCGATTCTGTCCTCTATGGCACAGTGGGGCCCTCAGGAGAGCTCTCTCCTGATTATATTCACCCCAGAAACACAAGCTTGAACACTAATGTAGGGGAACTCATTCCCAGGAATGTGTTGCTACAATTTACACAGGGGGAGTGAGGACATTCAAAAAATTGGGAAGGGGAACTTTAGGATCCAAAATATATGGGAGATTGCAGATGGGGAGAGGTGCATGGTAGCATCATTAAGAGTTTGAATTTCTTTCTCACTTGGAGTAGAAGTTGTAGGACTCTGCCTCTAGGAAGCGTGTCATCCTGCAAAAGCAATAGAAAGGAGATGAGGATAATAACCCAAATCAGCCATCATGTTTCTCTGTGAATACCTCATGCCAAAGTCTTAGTGCACTGATGTTGAAAATTCTAGGTCACCAACAACTAACCCACCTTGCTCCCTCCCCATAGATACTCTGGGTAGAAGAGGAGTCTGCAGCACCTCCTGTGTCCCCTTTCCTAGTCCTAATTGCAGCTACAGCGCCCTAAATCACTCCACTGACCTTTACAGCAGCTTGCTCCTACTCTAAGCACCATTCACTGAATCCAACACTGACTCTTTTAACCCTCATCCTCTCTGAAGGGCGAGCGGGCAAACCCAGCAACAGAGATTTACCTTCAGGATAAGTGGATCCAGGGAGGGGAGTGTAGCCTAGGAGAGGAAGATGCTTGATTAGACCAATGAAACTACCCAGCATGATCCACAGCAGACAGGGTATGAATGAAAGAACCGATTGCAAATATAACAGAACAAAGACCATGAACAAGAGAGGAGATGGGAACCCAAGAGGTCACTCACTGGAGGGTACTGCCTTCCGCCAGCTGACCAAGCCGATAGAGAAGATAATGATGCCCAGGCCCAGAACCACCGCAGACACGGAAACCTTCACTTTCTGCACAGGGGACAGCCCAGGAGCTGCAAACAATTAGAAACTTGTTAGAACCAGTCTCTATGACTCACCATCAGAGCAACTTAACTTTCAGCAAACTTCTCGTAAGAGTTCAAAGGTCCTTTATTGCTGCTCCAGCTGTGCATCTCTCACCAATTTGTTCCTAAGCAAAAGGCTCTCTCCAAAACCATCTTCTGTGAGCCTCTACGCCCAGGGCACCCTGGGGAGCCAAGCTCTCAGGTTATCTCCTAGCTTCTGCTTCCTTTCTAATACGTGTAGCAGAAAATGCCCACCCCAGCCAGTACAGTTCAGTTTCTTAGTTGCCCAGGTAACAGTTCCTGTCCCAGTTCCAGTTGCTCTTATCTCTTAAAAATGGCTGGTCTCTGTGATGCACAGCTGGTCAGTGTGATGCACATCATATAAACCAATCCCCAATCGACAGCCATTCTGCCTGTGTACTCCCTGCTTGCTTATCCTATATAAGCCCTGGACCACCAGAGATCAGGACCTGGTATCCTGGGAGTGATCCCGATCAGTGTCCATCACCATAAATAAATCTGCCTCAGAGTCCTGGATGTCATTTTGGAGTTGCAGTGGGCTATCACAGCAGTCTTCCCTTCCTTCATTCTCAGGGCGCCCTCACCAGCATACGGCCTTCCTTCATCCTCTCTCTTGTGACCCCTAGTGACTGATGAGTTGCTCCCTTACTGGCTCCATCGGAGCAGTTTCCTGTTGAACCGTGGCTCCCTGGTTCCTAACGCCAGCAGTTCCACCTGGTGACCTCTGCTAGTGCTGTGTCTTCCATATCCAGACTTCCCATGGATCCTCTCGGGGTTTGCCTCCATCCTGCTCCACTCGCTAGCACTCGTCCTATTCTGTATCACATCCCACTTGGATTCTTTCCCATGGTAAACTGAGTGCTCCATCACCAAGGAGGATTCATGGGACACTCTGCAGAGAGACTTCCCCCAGCAGAACTCAAGGGAGCATGGAGTTCCACTGTTTCCAGTTCCCCAGGCTTCTCCCAGCTGTTTAGCAAAATACAGCAACCTGGCGCAGCAGCCAGCCAGGGATCCTGCTTCCTGGCTCCTTTCTCTTCCTCATTTCTTCTTTTTTCCCCAGTAACCCTCAAATTTGTATCCAGCTTTTCTCATTGCCTTTCACTATTCCCAGTCTTTGGGTTCAAAGAGTAGCAATGAGCTCTTCACCCTGAGCACATCCACCATGTTTTACTGTCCTATTAAGCTCAATAGAAGAGCTCAAATTCAGTGCTGCCCCGCACCAAAAGAAAGTCTGAGTCTTCTTCACCAGGTCAGGTGGTGCATGCTCGTAATCCTAGCACCTAGGAGGCTGAGGCAGGAGGATCACTGAGCATTCAAGGCCAGTTTGGACTAAAAAGTGAGCTCAAGGCTAGCCTGAATTGCATAGTGAGACCTTGTCTAAATAGGCAAAAAGAAAAAAAGAAAGTTTACTTTATTCTACAACCTTCATTTATCTTAACACCTGTCGCTGAACTGACAACAAAATAGCTGAATCTGAGGGCCTTGGGATAGTGAGTGTCAGTGTTTGATTCTAAAACTGCCATCACCGAATTCTACATCCTCTTTTGGGGACAACCATCCTCTCCTCCCACCCTCAACCCAACCACAGCACAACTTCGACAATGCCCCCACCTGGCTCTTTCCATTCCTTCTCCCACTGCCTCCTCGCTGATCACAGTTTTCCCCAGACTCACTTACCATATCTGCCGTCTACACCACATATCTGCCCACATCTCGGTCTCTCTGCCCAAGCACTGCTGTCCCTCTCCCAACCATCATCTCCTGGTAGCTCTCAGCTCTAACCCAGATTCCTCCCCTCTGCCTTGGCTTACTCCAGTCCACATAAATGGGCTCAGAAGCCCCCGAGTGCTCCACTGCACAGGTGTAGACATCCCCATAAGAGGGGGTTAAGGCTAAACGAGAGATAGTCTGGTACGTCCAGTCTCCGTTGGGCTGGGCAATCTTCTGGACACTGCTGTGAGGGGTGACCACTTGCCCATTCTTCATCCACGTGATGGTCACCTCAGCAGGGTAGAAGCCCCACACGTAGCAGGCCAGCATCACGGGCTCCCTGGTGTTAAAAGGAGTGGTCTGGGCCACTTGCACCGTTGGTGGTTCTGCACAGGAGAAAAACACAGTCAGCATGAAGGCGGCCTCTGGCTCTAACTCTACTCCTTCCTCGTGTCCGCCCCCCAGACCTTTCCCCACCCTGCTTTCCACGCTCACCCCCTGCACGGAGCCACCGCACAAACCGGAGGAGCCGCAGGTCCTCCTGCCTCAGTCTCCCCGTCCTTCACTGCCCCTTATTCCTTTTTCTCTTTCAAAATTATATTTCACATTGGCAAATGCCCGGGTCTGACCTGCAAGCTGTCTCTTGTTCATTGCATCTATTTCAAGTGCAATAGCTTGAAAGTTCACAAGCAAAAGGCAACCCAGGACTATAAATCAGGGGTTACGGGGGCGCCTCTTAATCTCATTTCACAAATCCATCTGTTAAATAAAGCTTCCCCTTGGACTGTTTGAGGAAACAAGCCTAACTCAGGATTAACTGTCTTCAATTTGGAATTAGTGTAATTCAAACTAATAGGTTGCTGACACTGCCATCTTTTATTAATTTGTTCTCTCCGGCAACCTCCCTGCTTGCTTCTACCTTGTTACTTTTCAGACAAATTCTTAAATAAAAATCCAATAAGTTATCTTAAAATCCGTGGCCTGCAAACCCATCTGTTCACTCAGTGGCTCTGGCGTGGTATCCAGGAACTTGCCTTTGCAAAACACACTTCCTCCAGACCATTCTGAGAAAGAGGATTCAGAAACTACATCTTATGACACACCGCTTGCCCTGCAGAGATCTTCAGGTTTACTCTTACAAACTTCGTGCTATTATCAGTGCAAGGCATTCAGGGGCAGAGTACATGCTGGAATTCCTTGGGATCCCTTTCAAATATTCTCATGCCTGGGTCCACACCGAATTGGGACACCGAAATCTGAGACAAAGAAGCACAGGCATTTTGGGAAAGCCGTTCCGGCCACCGTGACACAGACTTGTACTTGGATCTGCAGGCTGAAATGCCCGCCTCTCCTACTCTCCCCCTGATCTCTGCTCTCAGGCACAGCTGTCACCTCCACTTCTTTGCTCATGCTCGCCCATCAGTCACCAGCTCCTCTTGGCGTTCAGCCTCCCTCTCCCTGCACCCCAGGGCTGCACACTGCTCCTCTGCTGCTCATCTCAAACCCCTGCCTGCCTTCTCCCAGCTGTGCTCCCTCGCAGCCCCTCTACACCCCTCTCCTCACTTTTTCTCTGGGTCAGTGACCCCCAGAAGGGCTGGGTGTGTGTGGCACAGTCTTGGAGTCCATTGTGCAAGCGCTGGAGCAGGTTTGTATTGTTGTTGAGATAATTGGACAAAGAGACGGCCAACATATTCAGGGTCCCAAATTCACAAGGCTCCATTCTCTCCTCATCTGAATTCCAACAGGTCAGCAGGTCCTTGTTGTAGGCGACACAATATGTGAAGTCCTTTGGAGTCCCATTATCATCCAACAGGCAGGTGCTTTCCACATGGGCCATAAAACCGCCTAGAAAGGCCAGAGATAGGAGGGAGGGCAGTGCCTGCTACAAGAGTGACATGGAGACATCACCTCTGCCCCAGTCCTGGGACAGCACTCCTAGAGCCTCCGTAACTGTGTGAGTGACGGCAAGTGTGATGCATCTGTTGCTCAAATATTTGGGCACAGAGGTCCTATTCCCTCGGAATCGCCTGCGTGACAGCAGTGTCCTTTGTTCTAACGAAGTGGCTCTGGAGGGCTCCTAGATGAGTACTGGTCACCAGAAAGATTAAACCACAGTGAAAAGCTTGGAAGTTTCACTCCGATCCCAGGAGTAGGAGAGGAGCTGGAGACTGGCTTAATAATCAATCGTGCTAATGTAATAAAGTCTCCACAAAAAGCTCTAAACCATGGGGCTCGGGATCCCCTTGGTTGGCACCTGCACCCTCATGCCAGGAGAGGGGCACCCCCCAACGCCACAGGGACAGAAGCTCCTGCACCTGGGTCCCCCCCCACCAGCCCTTTCACCTGACAGTTCAGCTGTATCCTCTGAAGTATTCTTTGCAATAAACTAGTGATAGTAAGTGTTTTATTTGCTTTGGTTCTCTTAGCCTCTCTAGTGAATTAGCAAACCCAAGGAAGAGGTCATGAGAACTTCTGAGGTACAGCCAAGTTGGACAGAAGTTGTGAGTGACCCAGGGGCCTGCTATTCGTGATTGGCCTCTGAAATGGGCAGTCCTGTGGGATAGAGGCTGTGAAGTCCGTGCTAACTCTGATTGTCAGAGTTCAGCTGAGTTCTAGAATGTCCAGCTGGTGTAGGACAACTGGTGGGGGGAGCAGTTTAAGAGAAGTCTTAAGTGTGAACCCAAAGAAGAAAAATACATCAGGTTTTCCCCCCTATATTCAGCAGGGAACCCAACCTCTGTTATACTCAATTACACTGGCAGAGGTTTCCTACCTCAGGCAGCATCTACTGACCAGGTTCACACCCTGCAACATCTGCGAGACCCAACAGAGGGAACAGATGGTGGAACAGAGAAGGTTTCAGGTCCAGATTCCTATTTATATGAGACTAAGTACTGGGATAGGAGCAGCCTGAGATTATTTAAACGTTTAATCATGACTGTTTATATAGACCTTCGGTAAGAAAATTATTGAGAGGGACCAAAAAAAAAAAAAAAAAGGTCAAACGAAGAATCAGCCTCACTCTGAAGTAGAAATATTAACTTTTCACCCCATGTGTATTTAGGAAACACTTCCTGTATGCCAGGCACAATAATAGGAGCCAGGAACGCAGCCACACACAAGGCGGAAACTGATCTTGCTACATCCCCGCAGGGAGTGTGCATTACACAAACATCACAGGGCTGGCTTGATTCAGGCTGAAATGACTGCTAAGGTACAGTACAAAGTGCTATAGGAAAAACATAGCAGGGAGACCAAGTAGTCTGGGATGTTCGCGCCCAATAGCAAAACCATACTTTTACCCCGAAACAGGAGCAGGGGAAAGTGGGTCCCAGGGAGAAACTCCCTACCTGCTCCCGTGCAGCCCAGGCTGAGGCCCAGCAGCAGCGGCAGGAGTGTGATCATGCTCTGCTCTGCGGGGAGTTCAGTTCCCCGGGCCGGCGCTGCAGGGCCCCTGGGTTCCCTCCTGCTCCGCAGCACCCAGTCTGGATGAATGGTCTCCACACACCGAGAGGCTGCAGTAATACGCGTGCCCCTTGATCCTTGCAAGGTGAGCGATTTGGGGCCACCCAGTCCCCAGATACTAAACCTGTGCCTACCAATTCTTCCAAGGGCTGGGTCCCAAAGGAGAGTTGTCAAATTAGGTAGGCGGAGACAGATGTAGGGACCAATCGGCTGAGTGCGTCCGACAGGCGTCATCAGTCACTAGGTAACCCTCATCCTGACGGAGGCTTAGACAGCAGGGCTTCTGGGCTCTGTCTTCCTTTATTCTTTTGGCGTGAAGCGACCAGCCTGCCAGTGATTTCCTGAGGTCAATGGAGGGAATAGCTCCAACTTTCCGCGATATACGGAGCCCGGGTTGCCCATTGGTTTAGATTTCACCTCTTAGTGCCCTTCCAGCAGACCACCTCTCTGTCCCTTACAGGAGGTAGCATAAACCCTTCCCCCATGCTGGCACCCCGGAAGTGGGCTGGTGGCAGAGGCAGGGGTACTGAGAAGAAGGAGGCACAGGGAGGGCACACTTACCTGGTGTCAAAACAAGACTGCACAGGAAGAGAAGGAGTCAGCCCTAGAAACCCAAGACAGGCCCGGAAAATCCCTGCATGGTCCTCCCGTGCTTCATTCGTTCTAGCAGGTCAAGCTTCATTTCCTGCTCACCTGCAATCACTGCTTTCCGGAGTCAGGAAACACTTGCCTCCCACGCAGAGCCATCTCTGGGGTTGGCCTCAGTGGAGCTGCCCGGAGCTCACCTGTGTTCCCCAAACTCTAAACTCCCCTGCGTGTCCCTGTACAGTCCCGTTGGTCCCCTGGTGGATCCCCACATTACGAAGCCAGTAGAACAATGTATGAAAACTCTCTACGATCCTTGTCCTGGAAGACAAATTTTAAGCAGCACTTCTTTCTTCTATCTCGTTGTGAACCACATGATTGATGAGTTTCTTAGCAACTCATCATAAATTTAGGAGGCAGCCCTTGACTACTCTTGTTGCCCTCCCCCGAAGTCCGTGACTCCAAGAAAATCTATTATTTATGACGAAAAAGAGAAGGGAAACAAAGCATGTGTCCAAAATGAATTCGGTGATTAATATCAGTAACAAAAGATTTGTTTTACACAACTGAGACTGATTGAGGCTCTGCCTATATTTCCTAGCCACCCCAATTCTGGCAACCACCTCGGTTATGGACTCAACCATGTAATGAATTACAAACTGGTGATCAGTTTAACACTAGCTGAATTAAATTGGCATGCTGCTGTGTGTAGCTGGCCCACCTGAGGAAAGTTGCCAGCGTAAATAAAGATGTGGAGAGAAGAGTGAGGCGTTGTGGATTCTCCTAAATGTTGCTGTTGGAGCCATTGTTTCTCCTGGAGGAGCTCCTCATATTGGCTTCCTGCTATGAAGTCAGCCATCATCACTGAAGTAGCTCAGGACCTTTTCACTGAGAGTGGCTGTGGTTCACTGTGGGGGAGCCCTGGCCCTTACATTCAGTGTGGTTTCCTGGCTCCGGAGAGGAAAATGTGTGCTGTTTAATCTCCAGGAGAAGCTTGTTCACATTGGCTTCTGGACATATGCTCAGCTGTTGTCACCATCGGAGGAGCTCAGGACCTCACTGTTGATGAGGATGGCTGTGATACTTTTCAAGGAAGCCCTGATTCTTATTTTGAGCCATTGCTTCTTGGCTCATGGCAGAACCCTCAACCTACTGGCACAAATCCTTCACCCCACTGGCATAGACTTTCCAGCTTCAACCGCTGACCTTTAGGCCTTCCCAGCAGATTTGTAAAACATTCTTACGTGAATCCTTGTCGTGCGCATTAGGTCTCTAGTTGGACTCATGGGAGGCATTGTCTTGGGCTCTGGGTCTTCAGCTGGACTCATGCAGGACATTGCTGTTGGATCCAGGCCCTCAGCTGGATTTTCTAGGTCTTTAGTGTTGTGGACAGATTTCCGGCACTTTCTCGTATTTAACTCTGGGTTAACATTATAAAAACGATATTATAACTTCAGTGTCCTGTGTGTAACTGTTCTCCTTGCAGCCCCTGACTACAGCAGACCATTAAGTATGTGAGAGTAGGCAGAATACAGGGTGGGAGTCCAGAGTTCACTGAGCTTCAGCTTTGTTAGAGTCTACTGCAGGTTTTCCTCTGTGTCCTACCTCATTTAGTCTTAAAAGATTTACTAATCATTTTCATTTCATAGAACTGATGGTAGATCTTTTGTGAATGAAACAGGATCCAAGAAATGAGGGGAAGGGGAAATAAGGAGAGGAAGGGGAAGGAAAAGAACTGACATGTGTTATGTGTGTGCACCAACTCTCCCCATGGAATGCGATCATTATACACTAAAGTGTATACCAATAAACACTAAAAACTGAAGAAAAATAAGTGGGATAGACATAACAAAAGAATCCAGAGATTCACTCCCAGTCTTTAATTTCTTTGCTGTTCCAATTCTTGGATCCACACACAAGCACGCGCTCCTGCACACACACTCCCCACATGCTACCGAGATGGCACAGAGTAGAGAAGTTGGTGAGACCTCTGTTGGGAAAAGGAGGAAGAGAGGAGCCACAGTCCACACCCAATCCATGCACAACTCATCCTTCCTGTGCTCAGAATCCCTCTGCCCTCACACCACTGTCTGTTTCACTTGTTTCCACACTGTGTGGGCACTGGCACACTTCCCCCTTGCACCCTTCCTCGCCCAGCCTGGTGGGTTGTGAGCGCAACCTGGCAGGACCAGGGCTCGGCATCCTCTCTGGTGTCCACTGACTCTGACCCAGGTCCACTCGCCATGGGATCCTTTGCTGTCCCAGGCACGACCCTCGCCAGTGGCGGGGCAGCCAAGTGGAGTTCCCTGGGGTGTCTGTGTCTCTGCTCCGGCAGTCAAAGAAGATGTGAAACTCCTCTGAGGCAGCAGCAGGAAGTGGTAGAGAGGATTTCACTTCTCCATTCATGTGAATGTGAGGGAGATTTTAGAACAAGGCAGGACACAAAACCCAGAGACCTGTGCTCAACAAAGCAGTTTCTTCTTCGTTTCCTCCTCCTAACCACTGTTTTTACAGATGTTGTTCTGTCTTCCCATTTCCAGACAACTCCAAAGAATATTTTGACTGCTCTTTCTCTCATCGCTCATCTGGTCGATTCTGTGAAGCTCTAGGGCTGAGAAGCTACGCAATCCCAGCCAGATTCCCACACACGGCCCTTCCTCTACAGCCACCATGCAGACCACAGAAGTCCTCTGCTCTCCCACTCACGCTCCCAGAGCCTGGCCAGGCCACACCCACCAGGGACCAGCCCCAGTGATTATGTGCATGGATCGCAGGAGAAGCGCAAAGTGGGAGTTATGGACTCTGTTTCCATGTCACCTCACATGGACATGCACCTATCGAAGAAGAGTTTATGTTAAAGTAAGCAAAAAAGAAAGCCAGTAGACTTAAAAGGGAAATGAGCAGTCACAGCGGGCATGGTGGGCATGGGGTCCTATGGATCGAGGAGGCCTGGAGCTGGGCTTGAATACCAGGCTGGATTCGTGTGGGAAAAGCAGAAGGCAGCTGGCATTGCAGTCCTGGCCCGTAGCTGCCCAAGCCCAGCAGGGCTGTGAGGCACTGCTGGGGGTCGACAAGGGGGCTACGTGGGCTGAAAAAATTTGAGCCAGGGAATCATCACCCAGGATGTGTATTAAAGTAGTCAACCATTTTCTTGTTCAGTTCCCAGGAGCGTGGCCATAACAAGACACATTTCTCCCAGGCGTTCGATAAAACTACTTCACGGAGGCTCTCAGGTTCCTCTTCCGGACAGATGTTTGTAACTCAAGACTCCATCTTCTAAACAGGAAAAGACTGTTCTACCAGTCAGTCATTTGCAGTCTCAAACCATAACACGAGACCACAGGGCTTTGACAGCCAAAATTAAATAATTTTATTCAAGGAAGGAATCATACGCAAATTTAACTGAAGAACAGCAAACTGAAAGAAGCATTTGCAGTATATACACTGCCCTGAGATTACTACAGAAAATATACATATTCTCCCCTCAAACGCTCAAGAAAAAGAGAGAAAATGCAATTTTAAAATAGAATATGTAAACCACCAAGTCACCAAGAGAAATATCTATGGAAAGATGCCCAGCCTCACTAGTAATGAAAAAAATAAAATAAAACAATAAGCTAGACAGAGTGGACTGTGATCCCAGCACTCTATAGGCTGAGGCAGGAGGATCACCATGAATTCAAGGCAAACCTGAACTACATGGTCAGAGCTAGTCTCAAAAAATATTTTTAAAAAAATGAGATCCTACTCTACACCCCACCATATTGGGAAATTTAAATAGTTTCAAGTGTTAGTCAAGACAAAAGGAAATGAGAACTATCTCGTCCTGTTGCTGGGAGCAAAAACTTTCTCATTCCTGAATTAAAGAAACTATAAACTTGTTGGCTAAAAGAATTCAGCATCAGGGAACAAGACAACATATCCTTGAGAGTAAAGTCTAGGTGGAGTGCTGCGAGTCTCAGGAGTTTAATAAAGATGAGTTAGGACTGGAAGATCAGAAGCATGTCCATGGAAGTGGCTGAACATGAGGCAGGCATAGAGGTGGTTAAGGTGGGAATGAGCTGAGTAGATTAAAGAAGATATTCCACTCCTGATCCAGGACAGACAGAACTAACAGAGTCAAAATGATCATACTAACAAAACTGATATATAGATTGAATGCAATCCCAATCAAAATACCAGCAACATTCCTCACAGATCTAAAAAAAAAAAAAAAAAAAACATTCTAGAATTCATACAGAACCAGAAGAGATCAAGAAGAGCAAAACCAATCCTGGGCACTGAGCAAAAGTAAGAAGCATCACAATACCAGATTTCAAATTATATTACAAAGCTACAGTGATAAAATAGCATGTACTGGGGGCTGGGGATTTAGCTCAGCGGCATAAGCACCTGCCTTGCAAGCAGGCAGTCGTGAGTTTGATCCCCGGTACCGATAAAAAGGAAAAAGACAAAAAAAAAAAAAAAAAAAATAGCATGTACTGGTACAAAAACGTGGACATGTCAATCAGTGAAATAGGACAAAGGTTGCAGAAACAACCCTAGGCACATTCAGATATATGATTTTTGACAAAGGGACAAAAACATGTGCTGGAAGAAAGATACAAGTGGTGCTGGGGAAACTGTCTGTCCACATGCACAAGACTGAGTCTAGCCCCAGTATCTCTCACCCTGTACTATAACAGAATCAAATTGGATCAAAAATCTAAATATTAAAACAGAAATCCTGAGTCTGCTAGACAATAAGTAAAACTCTTGAAGACACAGGTATAGGCAAGGACTTTCTGATCAGAATCCCAATGGGTGAGAAATATCAATACCAAGAATCAACAAATGGAATCAGATCACATTAAAAAGCTTTTGCACAGCAAAGGAAACAACCAACAGAACCAAGGGACTACCTACAGAATACGAAAATTATTTTTGTCAGTTACTCCTTGGACAGAGGAATAACATCTAGAATATATAAATAATTCAAAAAGTGAGACCCCTCCCCCACAAATAAAAGACCCAATCAGAAAATAGGAAACTAAAGTGAATAGACACTCTTGGAAGCACACACACACTCAGGCTACAGCCACACCACCTCTGCCACCCTCTGCAGTCCGCTGAGCGGCACTGGGGCCAAAATGCTTCTGGGTAGACATGGGCTCCTGGACCACAAGGCAAGAGCAGGCAGTGTTCCAGTGACCTGAACAGCCCTGGAGACTGAGGCAGCAGAGCTGATGGACAAGGAGACAGTGAAGCAGGAAAGGAAGGAGCTGGTACCCAGGACCTGATGCTTAAGAAGCTCTGTCTGGCACTAGGCAAGAAGTGGGGTGCCCATGTGAACCCCATGACCTGGGAGGAGGGAGAAGGCCAATGGTCAATAACATGTGAAGAAATGCTGCCGTTAGAGAACTGCAAAAAGAAACAACAGTAAAATTCTATCTTAATCCAGAAAGAATAGCTACCATTAAGAAATCAAATAATAACAAATGTTAGTGAGGTTGTGAGGGGAAAGAATCCTTTTACACTGTTGGTGGGGATGTAAACTAGTACAATTACTGTGGAAATTATATGGTGATTCCTCAAAAAACTGAAAATAGCAATTACATTTGACCCAGCTTCTAGGTATCTTCTTGAGTTAAAACCTAAATCTCTGGGGCTGGAGATTTAGCTCAGCTGCATAAGCGCTTGCCTTGCAAGCACGCAGTCATGAGTTTGATCCCCGGTACCGATTAAAAAAAAAAAACTAAATCTTTAAAGCAGCCTATATATCCATCAACAAACAAATGATAAAGAAAATGTAGTATTTATACACAACTCTGCCATAAAGAAGGATACAATTGAGTCTTTTTTGGGAAAATAGATGTACCATGAGACAATACTGTCAGGTGAAATAAATCAGAATACACCAGTCATGTATATGCATCATCTCCCCACAATGAATGCAATCACTGTGTACTGCAAACACGTACTAGTAAAAAAAGAAGGCACTGAAGTGGGAGGAAAGAGCTTGGACAAATGCTCTACTGTGAAGAGACCAGATTCTGTCAAGGAAGAGTAAAGAAAAGAGATCCATTCACCCACTCCCTCGGCTGGGGTACAGAGTATTTGGACGGAACGTACGAGGGCCCTGAGCAGAATTCCCGCTGGGAATAGTAGGTAATATGGACCAGGCTAGGGAGGGTCTTGAATGCTTCTAGAATATTTAAGTGATGGCATCATCCAACCTTTAGGAGTGAGCATATAACTTAAGCCCACCATTTGACAGAGGAGGAACAGGGTCCAAAAAGGGGAAGAGACTTCTCAGGTCACACAGGACGATGAAAGAAGCTACAAGCACTGACTGGCAGAAGCTGTCTGGATGAGCTGGAAAATGGAACCAAAATTAGGAAGAACTCAAGAGCAACAAGGATTAGATCCAGAGAGGTAAAGTCAACAGCAAAAGAAAAACATCTCGGAGGGAGAAAAGCACAATACTGAAAAGTAAATTCAGTGTGTTTCAAAGAAGAGAAAGATGTCAACGACCTTACCGAGGTCTGTTGAATTCTGGACAAACAGTGATATGCTAAATTATGATATACCTTTCCTATGTGCCAAACACAGTTCTAAGCAGCCTGCAGATACTAACTTACATAAGATTCACAACAGTCCTCTGAGACCAACACCAGGTTACCATCCTTCCACCAAAACTGATACCAAGGCAGAGAGAGGGGAGACGTGGCTTCCTTTAGGATACAGAGATAAAAACCAGCAGTCACGATTGAATTCCCAGCCGTCTGCTTCCGGAGCTGCCGCTTCTTAACCAGTCACATGCTTCTCTCAGAAAAGAAATGGTTCAGAGAAGTGTTAAATCCTGTGAAGAACTGGATCATTTCTCTCAGATGAGACTCTGGGACAATGTGAAAAACAGATTCCCTTATCAATGCCAGCATAACTTCACTCTTAACCTGAACACTATCCACTCCTCCTCCGCAAGCAAGCAATAAAGCAATTTAGGAGCAAAGGTCACGTGACACCTCTGTCTCTGTCCACCCCTGCCATTCTCCCTGGATGGGTCACTTAGGTCAAAGAACAGATTCCTCTTCCGTGTTGTTCCTCTTCACTTCTGGTTCACTTCCGGATGTTCAAGACAGGCTCCATGGCGGGAGGCAGAGGAGCGCCTGCCGGTGCACCCTCCCCACCCCTGCTCCAGCTTTCCCAGTTATGGGAGAGAGTCGCGTTTTCCGCACGCAGCCTGTACCTAGAACATTTTCACAAGTAGTGTAGCACTGAAAACACCCACATACACACGAGCAGCTTCTTCAACTGTTTCATGAACAGGTTATCCAAAATCAGCACTGTCCTCATTTCTCACATAATTGGCACAAGTGGACAGGAAAAAAGCCATAGCAAAGTGCTGAGACCGGGAACAGGAGCTTGGCTGAACAGCTAGGGTTTCCCGTTCCCCTACCTCCCGAGGGCAAGCCATGCTCAGGTTAAGGCATGCTGCATCTGAAATGACAGCACCCTGGACTGCAGCGACCCAGAAACCTAAGTCATGAGTTCATATCCAAGCTGCCAGGCTGGGGACGGGGTAAGGCTCTGCGCCCCATTCCCAGTGCTGCCAAGGGAAAACAAAAGAAGGAAGGAATTAAGCAACACTGATATTAAGAACCGAGGATTATTTTATTGCCTTGAAGAGGGAAGGGAGGGGTAATGTAATGCGCAGCTCTGGGCTCCTCTGGCTCCTCTGGGCTCCTGGGGATGCAAAACCCAGGAACAGCACCGCCCACCTGAGACACCTCCTCAGCCTCCCTCTGACAGGGTCAGGAATTTTTCCTGCTGAGGAAAGGCCCTGGACAGGACCTGAGAAGCCGAGCACCCTCTGCTTGGAGTCACTGTTGGCATCAAATTTGAACAAGCAGAATCAGTCTAAGGAGAGAGTAAGACAAAGGAAGTCGTCAGGGAACCCCCCTGCTCCCCACGGCCTCCCTCTGCTGAGGTCCAGCTCTCCTTGCTCCCAAATCACCCCCAAGCACCTTTCTCACATGACCCTGCATCACCGTTCTCCCTCAGCCCATCTTGCCCTGCTCAGTGGATGCAGCCGCGGAGAGGGACTCCATACCCAAGGACCTGCGAATGCCTATGTGACCACACCCCCACAGCACCAGCCTCAGCAAAATCCTAGCGCACCTAACTCACGCCCCTCAGGGTGACGTACCCCCTGAGCAAGGCCTCCGGAAGTAGACGATGAGGACAGCGCCCACGATGATACCCAGCACCCCCAAGCCAAAGGCCAGGCCACACAGCACATTCTCCAGGAGATCCGAGGGCAGGGCATTGTGGGGCACTGGAGAAGAGGGCCAAGGCAGGTCAGCAAGGAGACTGGGCTGGACAGCCCTCTGTGCAGGGAATGACTTGGGTGACTGGGAGGCAAGGGGGAAACTGAGGCCTGGAAGGCCAAAGTTGGCTACAGGAGGATGGACTCAACACAGATCCAGGTAGAGAAAGCAGGACCTTCCCGTGGGCCTTTTTGTCCCCCCAAGAACCGGACTTCCGGGGCAAGTGCCTCACCCCAATAGGCGATTGCTGTGAAGCCGTCAATTTCGTGAGTCGCCAGGCAGGTGAAAAGGTCATAGGGTTCCGGCGTGAAGTTTAAATAAGAAAAAGCTTGGAAGCTGAGTCCACTGATGGCCGAGATGTAAGTGGGCCCGGCCCCTTCCACCGGGTCCGAATTATGCTGCCAGTTCACCGTCAGCTTGGGGGGGAAGAGGTTACTGACGAAGCAGACCAGTGTGTTGGGCTTGCCAAACTCCAGGGGCTTCAGCGTGAACACCTCGGGGACAGGGAAGCCTAGCAGGAGGTTGAGGTGCCAGGGAGAGAGGACAAGTTTAGAGGGTGCCTTTGGGTTTGGAGGGGGTGAGGTGTATGGAAGGGCAGGCGTCAGTGAGTGGAGCTCTGGGGCACAGAGAGGAGGGCAGCGCTGCAGCTGAGCCTGACTTGGGTCATCCCGAACCCCTCGGCCCTGACTTCAGCAGCCCTTTCTGTCTCGACATTGTACTGGCCTCTAACAAGCACTTTTGTTCTCCTGGACACAGAAGCATGACATGGGATACTTGCAGCTGCCCTTCCCCATGTACAGGTGCTCACAGTGGGCATCAAATAGCCCTTGTCGAGTTCATCAAGTTCAACAAATGATCCTGAGTGCCTGCTCCATGCCAGGTGCCACAAGAAGTGGGCTCCTGCCCACAAGAAGTTGCAGGGTACAGACTGTGGCAGGTCTTAGGAGGCAGGAGAGGATGGGAGATGACGTGTTTAGATGGATAAGGGTAAGGGCCCCCAACCTCCGCCCACCCCCCAGAAAAACCCTAACCTCTGGACACTGGGATTTTTCCATCAAATACTGGGTCTAGTTGCTGGACCATTGCCTCGCAGAATTCTTTGTCAAATGCAATGGCAGGGGCGTCGCTCCGGTCCTCTGCCCAGTCAGCAAATTCAGGCAGGCGGGGCACCCGAGTGCTCTTGGCAAAATCGAAGGAGAAAAGCAGGTCCTCATCGTAGCTCTCAGAGAGCCCCATGCTGGGACTCCCTTCTTGGCAGAATACTGTGTGCCGGAACGTGTGGTTCTGCAGGTCTTCCCGCCACGCCAGAGAGTGGGCTGCAAGGAGACCAGGTGGGATCAGGGAGTAGGCGCTGCCCCTTGTCTTTAGGTCAGACGAGGCAAGGCCTGCTCCTGGGGCACTGTAGCATGGTGGAGGCCCTTCTATGTCCATTGCCTAGATTCCCCTCCCAACAGGGCCAAAGCAATTGAGGAAGTGTGCCCAGCCTCATCTGTCCGTAAAAAGATCAGCTGTCTAAGTTGCAAAAAGCAAAAGAGTTCGGCTGTCTAAGGTGACAGACTCGGAGTACCTCTGCTGGTTGTGTGTTTGGCAGTACAAGGGCAGCTGCTGAGGAGGCAGACGGAGGCTAAAACCCAGCTTGCACTCGGATCACCAAGCCACGTGCCCTAGCATGGGATGGCATCCCATGGGGGTGGGCGGACCTGTCTCCTTCACCAAGGCCAGATCTGGACTCTCAGAAGTGATGGATGGGTCCTTGTCTGAGAAGACTGAGAACGACTGATCTCAGCCTCCTGAAGCCACACTGACACTGCCCTACCTCACCCTAGACATGAACCAAACACCAGGCTTCCCTCCAGCCACTTCCCTGGCACCAGGCCACTCTGCAAATCTCTTCCATCACCCAAACCCTTTAGACCTGGAGCCTCCGGAGAAGAGATCCCCTGGCTGCAGGAAGTAATCCCTCTTCTCAGAAACTCTAGGTAAGAATCCCATCACCAGCAGGAGACCTGCCCAGCAGCTGGAATGACAGATATTACAGCAGGAGGACTCTTCCAGGTTACCCTCCCACTCTGCCCCATCTCTTTTACAGAGAACAAGCTGTAGAGCAGCCACGCTGACCTTTCAGGCATCACAGGGTGAGTATGAGGACAGAGTGATTGCAGGGAGCACTGTGAGCAGAGCAATGGAAATAAGGTTTGCTTTGCTCAAATTCCAGCCCAACTTTGCAACCGTGTGAACCTGCCCAAGTCCCTTAAACTTGCGGAATATGTATTCCTCAGCTCTGAAGTGGGTAGGTCAGTGCTCACCGAAGCTCCTTCCCAGTCCACCACCGTTTCCACCACCCGGTACTCCTGCCCACCTCTGGGAAAACACAGGGCTCGCCTGAGAGGCGGGGGGTGGGGTGGGGGGCAGACCCTGGGCTCCAGGGCAGGCGGACGGAAGGGGGAGGAAGATGCCTGTCTCACCTGCGGAGCCGGGCCAGGAGTAGGGCAGCAGCCACAGAAGCCGGAGTAGCGGCAGCAGCGCAGCTCCGCGGCTCGGGCTCTGATCCATACCTTCACACTGTACTGCAGGCGGGAGCTGCCCACCGGGTAGACCCAGGTCCCCAACTCCCGCCCCCGAGGGTGGCCTTAGGTTGATCTCATTTGGCCGGCTCCTTTCCAGCAGCGCCCCTGGTCATTTCAGCTAAGCCAATCACAGAAGGGTACGGTTCGACATCATCAGTCACTGGGGAGAGACCGGGGCCAGGAGCCTCCGGTCAGCTTGGCTCTCAGTGTGCGCGCCCGCGGGGAGCGGCTGCCTCCTGGCGGAGCTCGCTCCACAACCTGGGCGGCCGGGGTCTTCAGAGCAGCGCCGCCTGGTGGCAGACGGGACAGCGCATCTTCGGCGGGCTCCCCGACCCCACCCCCGCACCCGGACTCTCGGGACTCCTCCCCCCTCCACATTCCTCGTCCTTCTCTGAAAGGTTATTCCCCTGGCATGAGCTCTAAGTCATTCTGCAGAAACATACTGAAAGTGTAGTGAGTGCCGAGTTTTCAGCCCCGTGTTAGCCAAAAAAAGAAAAGAATACAAAAAAGAATAAAGCAGCCCCTGCCCCCATTATGTGAGAGTGCACTGTGGTTTCCTAGAAAATTCCTAGGTAACTGTGGTTACCTAGAAAATTCCAGAAATAAACGGTTTAAATTGTGCACCATTCCAAGTTAGCATGATGAAATCCCGGGCCCATCTGTGTTAATCTTCTCTTTGCCTAGTGTATCTGATCTGTATACACCACCTGCCTGCTAGTCACTTAGTAACATCTCCTTGATTGCCACTGTACTGCAGTGCATGTTCCAGTGACCCCTATTTTAATAACGGTTCCAAAGCGCAAGAGCAGTGAAGAAGGCAGTTCAGCTATGCCAAAGGGCAAGAATGCTAACATGTTACCTTTAGGTGAAAAGGCAAAAGTTCTTGGCTTAGTAAGGAAAGGGGAGGGGAAAAATTGAGAGAGCACAGTGCAATAAAACACACGCATGCACACACACCCAAGGTAGGAGAATCATTCACATAATTTTTGTAATAGTATTCTGTTATAATTGTTTTATTTTATTATTGTTGTTAATATCATTTGCCCTATAAATATACTTTATCAGAGTTACATATGTATAAGAAAAAACACAGTACTTGTAGGGTTCAGAGCTATCCATGTTTCCACTGAGGGACTTGGAATTTCCCCCAGTAATGAGGGGCGTTTCACAGTTCACCAGAGTAACAGATTGGTTTCTAAGGTAGGCTCACAGTGGAGAAAGAATTCAAAAGGCCTGCTGCACACTGGAACGGTGAATAACACATCGAAGAAGACCTGGAGCTCACTGCAGAGCCTTGCTGGAGTCTATGTGGGGAAAGCACACTGCAATGCAAGCCTGGAAGCATGTCCAAAGGCAGTGAGGAAGACTGGAGCTCCTCCAACAAGCTCAAGCAAGACTTCCTACTCCTTTCCCTTTTTATTTCAGCCAGGCTACAAGACTATTGGTTGGTGCCACCCACACCTGGTGGGTCCTCCCTCTTTAGCAAGTCTTTCATCCACAGAATTACACTTAGACAATCAGCTGGACATTTTTTACACACGTTGACACTATAGTTAACCATCACAGGCATATCCCTGCTTTCAAAGAGCTTGTGTCCAGCTGGCAAAGGGTCAATGAATAGATAATTATGATACAATGCAGTGTATGTCAGAATGTGCCAAGCCTGCCAGGAGGTCAGAGGCTTTGCTCTCTCACGTCCTTCCACCATGATATTTCCACCTTGGAGTCACCTGGCTGTGGACAAAAACCATGAGCTAACAATAAACCTTTTCTCCTCTAAAGTTTCCTTTCTCAAGTATTTGGTTACAATAGTGAAAAACTAACACAGAATATAATATACAGAGAATTAATATATGTGACATATAAAATAATTATACAGTCATGTAAGTAAAAGTGTGACTGTAGGGCCAGTATCTTTGGCTTCAAATCTATGCCCATCACTTTCTGCTGGATAACCCTTTTCCTCTCTCACATGCAATATGGGAATAATGATAGAAATTCTTCACTCATCTATTAACCCTTCCAATAAGTGTCTGCTGAGTATGTGCCATAGGTTTGTCACTCTATAAACCACTAAGTCTTTAGAAATTTCAAAAGAAAATATTTTGATTTTCTAATACATTAGTAATCCATACCCTACACATACACAAAAAAAGGAAATACAGCTGGGCGTGGTGGCTCACGCCTGTTATCCTAGCACTGGGGAGGCTGAGGTGGAAGGATCGTTGTGAGATTGAGACCAGCCTGGGCTACAAAAAGAGCTCAAGGCCTGCCCAAACTGCATAGGGAGACCCCATCTCAAAAAAAAAAGGAAATACAGAGACCTTATCATACAGTATGACTGTCAGGAGTAAACACAGCCACAATGGGAACACAAGGGAAAACTAGACTAGAAGGTGCAAGAACCGAGAAACTCACGCTAAGAAAATTGCAGTGGAGTAAAAATTTGAAGGACACACACAAAAAATTTGAAGGACACAATCAGAGCATGAATATATCTGGGAATAAATCACATTGGAGGGGAGCCTAACTTGCTTGAGGTTAGATCAGAAAACCTAGGATGGGAAGAGTGAGAGAAGTGGATGGTAATAGTGTGCAGACTGGGCACAGTGAAGGTCATCCGAATGACATGGACTCACAGAGAGACTCGGCACTTAGGATGAGTGAAACCAGAAGTCCTGCGAGGCCCTGAGCTGGAAGTGGCTGGACTTGAGGTACCCAGAGGAAGAGCCAAGAAGCTACCACACTGAGAGGAAAGGTCTTACTTTTGAGGAAACAGAAGCTGTAACACAGAGCAAAAAAGCAGAGAGGTCACTTAGATCTATCACAATAAAGTAGGCAACTCTGGAGACCGGAAGAACCACTTAGCAGTAGTGCAAACAGAAGCCTTTCAAAAAATATTCCAGAACAAGATGGCAAATTTTCCCTGAGAATTAGGGATAATGTAACTTCAAAATCCTACTTGAATAACATTGCTGCTTCTTTCACCTACAGATAGTGCATGACTGGGGAGGGGTCATGATATAAAACACTATTTCGTTCTAGAACCTTAAATTACCAGATCTTTCTTTCTTTCTTTCTCTTTCTTTCTTTCTTTCTTTTTTTCTTTCTCTCTCTTTCTTTCTTTCTTTCTTTCTTTCTTTCTTTCTTTCTTTCTTTCTTTCTTTCTTTCTTTCTCTCTCGTACAAAGGATTGAACTCATGACTTCACTCTTGCCAGGCAGGTACTGTACCACTGAGCTAAATACCAACCTAAATTATCAAATCTTTGCATCACCAACCACTTGCTAAAAATTACTAGGATATCTCTATTCCTTCCATGGTATCTCAGCTTTTCAAAAATCTTTTAATACCAAAAAAGTGAACATATAAATAAATAATATAAATACTGGAAGAATAAAGAATGTGCAAGGTATTAAGGAAGTGGCAGTTTTGTAAGAATGGAGACCAGGGTGGTGTATGCCTGTAATCCCAGCACTTGGGAGGCTGAGGCAGGAGGACCACTGTGAGCTCAAGGCCAGCCTGGAATACAAAGTAAGCTGAAAGTCAGCCTGAACTGCATAGCGCGACTCTGTGTCAAAAAGACAAAAAGACAGAAAAACAAAGAGAAAAAGAAAGAGAGACAGAGAAGAAAGAAAAAGAAAGAAAGAAAGAAAAAAAAAGAATGGAGTTCTGGATGGGACATAATGAGGGAGGCTCTGAGAATCTCAGTCTGTTTGCTTGTTTTGAGGAAGGGACTCCCTACAGTGCCTTTTGAACTATGTAGTAGGCTGTTCTTGAACTCATGAAGATCAAAGGCAGCTAGAGTTCCTTTCTGTGGAGAGCCTGACATGATAGCTGTGCAGACTGCTCGCAGGTTCTGCTGAGGAACTCAGGGCTGGAAGGAGGGGATTATAGTTTGAGCTAGACATTTATGCAAGAGCGATGACACAGGCCCAGACACACCATAAAGAAGATTCTTTGCTTAGCAGGCGAGAGGGACATTAAAACTTGGGAGTGACACAATCACTTCAGCACGTTAAGGAAGTTGTTCTGATATTTTAAACAATTGCCTGAAGCTTGAGAAAAATTGAAGCAAAAATGCTAGTCAAGAGTCTCTAGCAAAGAAAGGCGGGGTATGAAAAGTACCGCATATTATAATAACAGGGGATGGAGAGATGTATTGAGATCATTAGGAAGCCGAATCTGAAGGCTTTGGTGAATGATACATGTGGAAAAGTGAGGAGATGAAAGAACTGAGGATAAACCCAGGCTTCTCGTGTGGTGACGGGCGTGTGCTCAGGGATGAGCTGAATTCGAACTGAAAATAAAGGCCTGGGAGCGGGTTTCCGGACTGAAGGAAAGAGCCTGACTTTGTGCACGTTGAATATGGAGTGCCGGTGGGACAGCCAGCAGGAGGCAGCAAGGTGTCTGAGGGCGGATCCCACAGGGGACGAAGAGGTGGAGGCCATTGATCAAACCACCCGAAAAGACTATGCTGAAGGAGAGGCAAGCCAAACAAGGCACCGGCAGGGCTGGGGCATCATATCCCAAACCTCCTGCCAGTTGCCATCCAGGCAAAACCATCCTAGGTACTCATGGCTGAGAGAATTAGGCCTCTAGAATTGGTTGCAAATGTGTAAAATAGACAAGAAGCACAAAGGGGAGGAGGCGCGGCTGGAGTACAAGCTGGAATGCATAGATCTGCACCGGGAGCTGCCCTGTGGTAGACACGGTCGCACTCGGATGTCACATCTAGAGTCGTGGAGAAAGCACGTCTGCTCAGGAGGCTAGAACCCAGGACCACTCATTCCTCTTGGTACATCCACCAGCCATTGTCACAACCATTACCCTGTGGGAGACAGAAGCAAGAAGCTTCTGGCTCTCTCCCGCCTTCTGATCTCCCACCAGTGCCCTCTTATTGGCAGACTCTAACCCAGAAGCCAGCTGGCCAGGGAGGCCGGGCAACGTACCCCTGCTGGCTGCTGGTACAGAACACGGGACAGGGGGGCAGGCATGGCACCGAGCGACTCTAGACAATAACAGCCAGCTCGCCGGGAGGCGCCACCTTGTAGGAATCCGGTGGCACCTGGAGCACATGGAGAACTAAGAGTGGGAGGAGGCGGATCAGAGGAACAGAGGCGGTCTGTGGAGGAGGGCCAGGCCAGTGTGACTGAGGACACTCAGGAGTCAGGGACTAAAGAGTGCTGAGATTTGGCAACTATGGGATGGTTGACGAGTGTGTGCAGAGCAGTTTCAATGCTGCAGTGGGCGGCGACTCCAGATTGCAGTGGGCTGAGAAGGAAGTGGGAGGTGAGGAAGAAACTGCCAGTGTATGTGCTTCAAGTCTGATAGAGAAGAGAGACAGAAGGGTTGGGGGAAGGGCGATGAGAAAGAGCCAGCGTGGCAACCCGAGTAATCTAAGAAATTAATCGGTGGGAATACGCTGCATCAGTGTCCTGAGACTTGCAAAATCCCCACCTTTTGAACTAATAAAGGCCAAAAACAACTCCCATGACCACGTGAGTATTCTGGGAAAAGCAATTTGCACATACATAGTTACCTAGGTGGTGCAGAGGTAGGGTGTCAGGAAAGGGGTGTTATCACCATAACACCCCAAAGAGCAAAAGAACACTTTGCTAACTGACCCATCAGCGGTACTGGCAGAGGGGAGAAGGCGGCCTGCAGAATCCCAGAAGGAAGTTTAGGACACCACAGGACTACGGAGGAGACATGTGACACACTGCAGCTCCCTGGGTTCTGGATCAGGCGGGCAAGCTTTTTTGGTAAAGGGCCAGAGAGTAAATTTCTCAGGGCTGCAGCTGTGCCCTGGGCACACTGTCGTGGCAGGAAAGCCACTGCAGGCTCAGTGGAGATGCAAGAGCAGGGCCTGTCCCTGCCTCCCTTGGGCTCTCTCCCACATCTCCAGCTCCGTCTCCTATGCGGACCCTTCTTTCAGCTGTTCTTTAAATACTGGTGCCCCCTGGGGTTTTGTATTCAATCCTCTTTATTTATGGACTAACAGTCGCATAATATCTGCATGTCCTGAAACAGTCTTCCTTTGCTTTTTTTGTTTTTTCTCCCAAACATTTAAAAATGTAAAGCCATTCTTAGCACTTAAGTCGTATAAAGACAGGCGGTGGGCCGGATGCTTTGCTGAAAGCTCTTCCCGGTGTGGTCACAATTGGGATAGAAACCCCAAAATAAACCCACTGTTCAAGAGTCTGCCCCTTTTATTCATGGCAACTGCAGTGGTTTAATGGTTGGTGTGTTCCGGTGACAGGTTGTCTGAAGAGCTGGGGAGGAGCAGAGGTGGGCCGAGTGGGACGACTCCAGAACAGAACAGGGAGACGAGCAGAGGGCTCAGTTCTCCAGAGAGCAGGGAGGGACAAGGCGAAGATGAGGAGATGCACTGTCATGTCACCAAGACTGCGGCCGGGGGGCTGACTCCTTGCATCGCCCTCTGTAATCCCAGTATGACTTGTAACGAGTTCCAAGCGTTATAACTTTGCTGCCCTCTATGTGGCTCTTCTTCCTGCCAGGACTTCCCAACAATCCCTCCAAAGGCGTCTCCAAAGGACTCCATCAGTTTGAGGAAATAGTAGCAGTGGGCAAGAGCAGGGCAGTCAGTTCCCACTGTCCATTTTGCCATTAAATAGAAATGCTTGGGGGATGGGAATGAGAGAAATATTGAAGCACCTCAAAAATGTGAGACTAGAAAAGACAGTAAGATGAAGGAGTGCTAGGGAGTGAGATGATCAAAATATACAGTGTGCATGTTTGAATCTGCCAAGCTGAAACACACTGACCTGTGTAACCATTTAAAAAAATAATTTAAAAAATGCCTCTGACAGTAATAGCACAGCACCTCTAAATCTAGGGGGGCTTTCTTTTTCATTGGATTGTTTGTGATGCTAGGGAGTAAACTGAGGGCGTAATGCATGCTAGGCAAGCCTCTTATCACAGAGCTATACTGGAGCCCTAAGAACATATGCACAGATTTGAAGACACCAGCTTAGCCAGCAACTTACAGTTTGCTTCTTTCCCTCCCTCCCTCCTTCCCTCTTTACTCTCTTTCTTCCTTCCCTCGTAGTAGTAGAGACTGAACCCAGAGCCTGTGCTCGCTTCCGAGCTGTATCCCAGCCTGCGGCCAAGGCTTTCCAAGGCCCGGCTCTCCCAACCCTTCCAGCCCCATCTTCCCTTCCCCACCTTTAGCCCTCTGCAGTCAGAGCCAGATTTCTTGAGAGCTGTGGGTAATTGGGTCCCACTTTCATACTTGTTAGTCCTTCATCCTCATCAATGAAAGTATTCACCAGCATTTTGTGTTTCTGAATCAGCTGGATTCTTCGCAATCTCCTAAACACTTGACACCACTGGCTGTACCGCCTCCTAAATTAGTCTATTTGGGGAGCATCTTTGATGGAACTTTCTCCTAGTTCCACTCCTCTGATGTGCCCTCTTAAGTCTCTGTGGATTCTTTCCCTTCAGCTACCTTAAGGTATTGGCGTCCCTAGAGTTCTGTCCCCAACTCTTACCCTTCTTACACAACATAATTGCCACGGGTGGCCTCATTCGCTTCTGCCTGCCTCAGTTACTGACACCTCTGGGGTCATCACAGTCACCCCTGAGCTCTGGTCCTGCTGAGTCCCACACTTTCCATCTACCCAGCTGCATCAGCCACCTCCTGTCGGGTGTTATAAAACAGACCACCTAGGGGCTGGGGGTTTAGCTCAGCGGCATAAGCACCTGCCTTGCAAGCAGGCGGTCATGAGTTCGATCCCTGGTACCGATAAAAAATGAAAAAGACAAAAAAATAAATAAATAAATAAATAAATAAAAAAATAAAACAGACCACCTCAACGGCAGTCTCCACAGGTAGCAGTATTCCTTAAGAAATAAAATCATGTAAGTCAGATGATAGAAATTTTTTATTTCAAAGTTTGTTTCAACATAGACATAATAAAACACAAATATTGAGCAGGATGGTGGTGCATGCCTACAATCCCAGCACTCCAGGAGGTAGAGGAAGAAGGATCACAAGCTTGAGCCCACCTTGAGCTATTTAACAAGACACTGTCTCCAATTAGAAAATAAAAAAGGGCTGAAGATGTGTGACAAACTGGTCCAAACCCCAGTACCCCAGTACCATCAAAGCACACACACTTGCACACACATACACATATACTTGCACATGTGCGGTTGGGGGCAAATGCCTCCAGGCTATCTTTAAAATTACACCTTGTTGAGAGAGACAATTTTAACTGAGGTGAACACTACTGAATTCTTTAAACGTCTCAGCATCAGTCACCTCCAGGGATTAGTGCTATTTCTGGAGAAGAGAGAAACACCATTAGTGAAGCAACCACCTCAATACAGCTATCTTCAACCTAAGCATCCCAGGAGATCATCTGAGGTACACACAACAGGTTAGATGTACGTATCACTGCTCAGGTCACATTTCCCAACCAACTGCTCAGGTGATGTAGGTCAGCTACTTGGTGATCTGTAACATGTCTACCACATATTGAGATTAATTTATCATAGGCTTCAATGTTGATTTATTAATTTAAAGGTTTATATTCTTTTTTTTTTTTTTTGTCTTTTTCTTTTTTATCAGTACTGGGGATCGAACTTACGACTGCCTGCTTACAAGGCAGGCGCTTATGCCGCTGAGCTAAATCCCCAGCCCCCAAGGTTTATATTCTGACTGGGCGTGGTGCCGCATGCCTGTAATCCTAGCATTCGGGAGTCTGAGGCATGAGGACTGTGGTAAATTTAAGGCTAGCATGGGCTACATAGTGAGTTCAAGGTCAGCCTGTCTAACAAAAACAAACCAAAACATCAAAACATTTATATTCTGCTAAGGATCTACAACTCGAGCATATGTGTAATAGCTATATTAAATGGCCTTTCTAGTATACCCCATCACCTCAATCCAAACAATTAAAAGCAATTATTCATCTTGATTTAACCCAATTCGTGTTCATGTCTCTGAATGATCTCAAAATGTCTAAGAAAGTTTCAAATGAAAAGATTTTTAAACTGTGCCTCTGGTTTAAAAAGTGGTGTTGCTTTATGTCTCATAAAACCCTGTTAATAATGCAATGATGAATTCTAATTAAACAGATCATAGGCAAATAAGTCTATGAATTGCTATATATCTCTAGTTCAAGATTTACAAAACTAATTCATCACCATCCCTTCCCAAAATCTCCCAACTCCTGTAGTTAAGACTTCAGTAATTGTCCAAGCTACGATGGTGAGCTCAGAGCTTCCACCTCTCATGGCTCCACCTTCCTCAAATCTTTCCAATTTTTCACTAAGATCTACTGACTCTACCTCATTTAACACTGTATTTCCTGTTTTATAGCATCTTTCTTAGAATTGGTCTTGCCGTGACCCCTGCTTCTTGAGGTTCTTGGGGTGAAGGACTGCGAGAGGAGGAGAAAATAAAGAGACCAAAGCTGGGGTCAGGTGGAGCCCTTTAGGCTCCTGATGGAAGAGAAGGAGCTGCTCCACCACTGCAGCACCATTACTTACACCCTCCCAAGAAGAGCGTCCATTCCAACCCCACTGCCTAGCACTTGTTTGCGGGCTGTCCGGGGCCCCGTCTTAGAGCTGGAATGCTTGTTTATGTGGCTTGCTTGGGGCTGTCTCTGTTTTCAAGGCTGGCCTTGCTTTAGCTCCACATGCGATCAATCTCCAGCTTCACCTGCTCCAACAGGTCTGTCTCCAACTGTATGATTTTCCACAGCATTGGCAGAGGGAATTTTTGTGTTCCTGTTTGTTTTCATTTTGAGATGGGGACTATGTTACCCACACTGATCTTAACTGCAGAAACTGTCCTTGAACATCAGTAATGACCCCAATTATCAACTATCTTTGCCTGTCATCTGTTGCTGTAACTAAACACTCCAGTCAGGCTCATATATACAGAAGAGGTTCATTTTGTTGACAATTCTACAGGATGGGAAGTCCAAGAGCACAGCACTGGCGCCTGCTCAGCATCTGGGGAGGGCCTTCCTGCGAGGGCACACACATGGGAAGCTTCATGGTGACAATAGTCATCGAGACCCACCAAGTGGCTACAGAGCTTGCTTCCACAGCAATGCCAATCCTGAGGTACTGTCAATCCACTCATCCAGGGTGTAATCCATTCCCGAAGGCACAGCCTTCATGGCCCAGCCCCGGTATCTCCCAATGAGGGTTCAGCTTCAGCAAGAACTTTGCTAGTTCTTCAAACTGTAGTGCCAACACGGTACATTTTCCTGTCTTTTTTCCCTCACGTCTACCTACAGTTTCACTTCCTTAAACAGAACAGGGGTTTCTAACTTGCCACAGAATTCAGAGAACCTTAATTTTATGAGTAAACATAGGAAAAATCTTTGTAGTACTAGCAGTGAACTTTAAAAAATCACTATCAATAATTTTATCACATTATAGTTACTATACACATCTTAACACAGCCCCACTTTATAATGGGAGGTGTTAAGCCCACCAATAAATCGTGTTATTTTATACACTGGTAAAGAAATACATACTATTAGATCACATACTTCTCTAATTTGATAATTATATTTTACCTTATGATCTCATGGATACATTCATAAAAAATATGTAATATCTAAAGCCAAAATCGCTAAAAAAAAGTCCATGACACAAAAAAGCTTAACTGATTTAGTCATTCATCTATTTGATAAACACACAGCACGCACTGGCACCATCCCCTGGTCTTGGCTTCTCTGTACCACGCTGCTGTTTCCCAGCCTGGTTTCAAGCTCTTTCACTAGTTCCACTTCCTGTTCTTGCTCCTTGCGTGAAAATTTCACTCACAGCCCAATCTTCCAGCCTACCCTAAATGTATCGGGGACCCAGCCAGGAGCCCCGATTGCCTGTGTTAAGGGTATGGCAAGAGGACAAAACAAGAGAGCAAATTTAGTAATACAGGATGAGCGACTGGCCGTCTCCACACTGCTCACGACAGTGACACTCCAGGACAGCCACTGTTCATTGGGTGTATACAATGATGGGCGGGGCTAGTGAAAGATTTGAAGCTGGCTTACAGATAGACTTACACAGACTTACAGATCTATGACTCAACTGGCAAGTATAATCTTGTGATGACTCAAGAGGGTGGAGAGGATTTTATGCTAAGAAGGATCTTGCTCCAGAGTGTTTTTTAGACTTAGTGGTTTTAGTTTAGTGGGTGTGAGATGATGGCCAGCCTAAAGAGTTAATCAAGTGGGTCATACCAATAATTCCAAACCTTCACGTTATGCAAAATTAACCATTGTGAATGTGGTCCCCAACGTAAATTTCGTATTTATTTATGTTTTGGGGGCTTTCTGAGACAAGGTTTCTCTGTATAGTTCAGGCTAGCCTCTAACTCAAGATGATTCTGATGAAGTCATTGCTCTCCCCACTGGAGTCATACTTAACAGCACTGGAAACTCCAAAATATGGCCTGCACAAATAAATTTCCCTCTGACTTTATTCCTATTTAATTTTCTTTCCTACTTTATTATAACTTATTTTATGTCCTTCTTGAACTACACTACTCCGTAAGAATAGCTTGTGCTGTTCTGCTTGTCTTTCCTCACACCAATTTCTCAGTGTCCCTTAAGACAATGATTTTTGCCTATAGTTACTCCCCAGGACTAGGCGCAGTACCCCACAGTGCATATACCTTGCAATTTCATCTAACTCACATACATAATCATCTAAGCACCAATTCCTTTCAACATTTGCTCAATTTGTTGGCCAGATAATGTGTCCAGGACCCGTGAGTACTTAAAAAAATTTTCAATGCAGCCTTGCTCTCGAGATCAAAATGCAGCACAGAAAAATAGTTACAGAAATGGAACTGACTGTAATAGGTATAATCAGAAAAGGAAACGGCACTATGGTTTGAGCACTCGGCTCAGTCTGGGAAGCAAGAGTAGTCTTTTCGGAGATGGTGATTTTTGGATTTAGTAAGAGAAAAAAAGCATCTTCCATGTAGAGGGACAGTATGAGGAACATACAGAGGCATGGTGTACACGTCTTGGACACCATTTTAATTTTCCTGCAGTAAAGAAGCCCAAGAGGAAGTGACTAGTCATGAGGTGGGAGAGGCGCACAGAACTTTTCTGGCAAGCACAAGAATTTGGATTTCATCATGAAGGTAATTTGGAATTAACACAGATTCACACAATAACATATAGCTAGGGCAAGCTCACCGCTGAGAGCACCTGTGGCAGGGGCAGAAGAGAAAACCTAGAGTATCACTGTCCAAAAGGCTATTTTTTGCAGCGGCAGAAATGTTCCATCATCTGCTGTTCCGTGGAAGTTACTAGCTGTACGTGGCTACTGAGAATTTGAAATGTGGCTAATGCACTGTGAAAGGGTTTTGGCCCAGGCCGGACACTGTAGCTGGTAAAGCCAAGGAGCTCCTATCTCCCCCACCCTTAGGAATTTACCTCTGGCACCAAACAAAGACCAATGGGCTACCTGTGCATCCCTAATGCCCCCTTAGCTTCCACCCCAAACCGAGGCTACTTATGTGCCTCACTCCATGTGTTCCATGGAGAGGCCGCCGACCCCAGGGTGGAGATGCCGCACCCCGCGGGGGATCAGGGGTGTCTCTCCCCGCATTCTCAAAATAAAGGTCATTTATATTTCATACTTCTTATCTTTTCAGCCACCGCCAGTCCCCCACAGTTCTATCACACTGGGAAATTAAATTTGAAACTGCACCTAAATTCAAGCTGGGAGTGGCAGTGCACATGAGGCTGAGGCAGGAAGACTGCCACAATTTCCAGGCCATCCTAGGATACACAGTGAGTCAAGCCCAACCTGCACTATGCAATGAGATCCTGTCTTCAAAAAACAAAACAAAAATGCACATCTGAGTTCAAATAACCACGTATCTATTGTATTGTATAACGCAGCTCTAGAGGTAAGAAGTTTCCCAAGAAACTGTCTACATAGCCTAGTTGACAGGACTAGAGCAGGCCTGGGTTTCAATGGATACTTAAAAGGCCAAATAGTAAGTCTGGTGGATACAAAGTTGTGAGAGGAAACACAAGAAGGGGTCCCACATTCCAAGCTTTGTGACTGAGCAGCTGTCATCCGAAAGGAAACAGAAAGAGCAAGTTCAGAGCACACCCAGACCACATCAGTCGTGAACCCCTTGAAGTGTTTGAGGGTATTCAGCAGCAACCAGATTCAAGTTGGAAAAGGTTTGAATCATTTGTGTGCTACTACCTAGAGATGCCAGAACTAGAAGAAAACAGGTATAATTTGGCAAACGTCAGTATGTGGGAAAGGGCTAAGAGTTCAGAAAGGAGCCTGGGGAGAACAGACAAGTACGAACTAAGAAACTGGTGAGATTGGTCACAGAAGTCAAAGGTACAGAGTGTCAGGAAGGAAGATCAAATGTCAAATGCTCCAGAGGGGTCAAATGAGGTGAGAACTGCAAAGCACTTTCCAATAAAGAGGTCCTTGAGCCTGATGGGTGCCTGAAGGGTATTCTGGTGGAAGCTGACAGACTAACAAGTTAAAGGAGGGTGGGGATGCGTAGAGGGAGGAAGAGCAGAAGACTCTAGCAAGAGGAAGATGAAGTAAAAACGTAAGTAGAATTTTTACAGGTCCTGCATTATCTGCCTATGCAAAGGTCCTTAGAGGTAAGAAGTCTCCTAACCGAGCAAGGTACTGAAAAGGCTGTTTTGTGAGGCCTTTAACTTTACCACCTCACGTGTCCCCTGAGGGCACCCTACATTTGTACTTAGAAACCTCCAAGAGTTCTTATTTTTCTCTGGTTAGGAAATAAAGCTTAACATTCCAAAGGGTGGAGAAAAGAGGATAGCCTCGGGGCACGTTAACCAGGTCAAAAGTAAAGGGATTTTCTTAAACCAAGAAAGGCAACCCCTAACCAAACGGGAAGGCGGCCCAGGTTACAGTAGGTGGGGGAGGGGCGCCCTGTAGGTGGAAGAGATATTAGTTGGTAGTGAGGGATGAAGGAAGAGGTAATGGGTTAGGGACAAATTAAAAGATTGCCCTGGTGTCCTCCGGATCACCCTATTTTATGTTACCAATCTCTTTTTTACGAGATTGATTTAAGATCGAGAGAGCAGACAGCCAAGTTTTCAGAGTAGGAGCGCTTTCACTAAAAAGTGGACCGCCGTGCGGAAGTGACCTAATTAGAGACTCTGCAGAGGGCAGAGGCCTCCAGGAACTCGGAGGTCTCTAAGAAGACATTTAGGGTGTCCCGGGGGGACAAGAGAGGTCGCAGAACTACCTCGGCCCGCCCGGCGCAGGAACGAGGACACGACGCCCTCAGGGCCGAACACAGCGCAGCAGCCCCACCCTGCAGGCGCCCCAGCTCCCGCGGGGCGCTCCCTACGACTCTGGTCAGGCTGCCGCGAGCTGCGCCTCCCAACCGAAGCCCTGAGCCGGGAGCCCACCAGGCCGCACGCCAGCCCGTGCCGTGGAGGAAGGGCACCGAGACTAGCGTCTGCGCGCACGGCTTCCGCCCCACCCACCCACCGCGCGCCCTCAGAGCTCGGTCCCGGGGTCTGCGACTCTGCTCATGCGCCTGCGCACTGGCGCCCTCCCCGCGGCCGCCCGCATTCCTTGCCCCTCCCCCATCCGGTCGCACCCTTGCGCCTGCGCTGTGAGCGTTTCAGGGCTGCGGCAGCCATGCTGAACCCGTACCGAGAGGCTAGCGGGGGGGACGAGGTCGACGACGGCATGATAAGAAGCTGGAAATATGAAGCAGCAGCAGCGTTAGCGCCCTCTGGGCTGGAGACACAGGCCTGGGCCAAGCGGCGCCACTGGCCCCTCACACGACCCCCAGGAATATTCGGAAAACAAGCCCTCGTGGCTGGGAGCGGAGGAAGGGGGCGGCGGGCACGTGACCCAGGCAGCCAATCCGGAAGCTGCTGACGTGGCCGCGCGGCCGCGAAGCCCTCCCCACCCCCCCAGGCCGCTTGGGAAGGGAGGGGCGGGGGTTACGCCCCTCCCCCAACACTTGCTTCGGTTTCCGGGGGGGGGGGTTGACACCCCGGATTACATCCTCCCCCCGCACCCAGCCAAGGGCAACTCGGGAGCCCCCCCCGGAAATTTCCAGGATCCAGGTGAGAAGGGGCCCTAGGGGCGGAGAAGTTTTCTGCCATTTGGATGCCTCATCAGTGGTGGGGAGTCCGGGGGGATTGTTGGGGTTCAGAAAACAATCCTAAGAGAGGAGGACTTGTCCTTCAAACACTTCACAGCCAATAGGAGTGTGGAGGGGGGCAAGCAGGCGAGGGCCACTTGTGGGGGGAGGGGAATGGCCAACCTCGTGCCCATTGGAGGGCAAAGGGGCGAGGGCCGGCGTGTGCCCCCCTCGCGCGCGTCCCCTGGGGTTCGGGAACCCGGAGCCAGGTGAGGAGGGACCCCTCCGGGCGGCCGCGGGGAGGCTAGGCGCGGGCGTAGTGGCTTGCTTCCTCGTGGGTGCGAGGGCTGTGGACCTGGCAGCCAGGATGGGAGATAAGTGGCCCGACGCCCACCTCCCCGGGGACTCGGGGGACAGAGTCCCGGCCCCTTTGTGAGAGTGGGAGCCTGTGGCCCGCTCACAGCGCGGGGGGTGCGCCTCGAATCTCGGCGCGTGTGTGCATTCACGTGGGAGCAGCCCCTGGGGCCTCGGCGCGGGTGTCCGAGGTCCCACCCTGAGCAGAGCTTGGGGTCCGCCTGCTGCGGGAGCCATGCCCCAGGCGGGCGCTGGGAGGGGGCTCGGGACTGGACCTGCTCCCCAAGCTGCATGGCTCCCGAGGTCTCGGGTTTCTCCGGGTGGCCTCCTCCGTCCCCTCCCCCAGGCCCGAACAGATCGCTCCTTGTGTGCTGCGGGGGAGGCGGCGGAAAGGAGGGAAGAGTTACTTTTCCAAATTACTGAGCAGCAGTAGCCTCCCCGGTGACTCATATGGGGGAAGGGAGCGTGTGGGGAGCAGTGATTTTCCGGAATGCGGGAAGTGGGAGTCATGTCTGATTGCCCTGTCACCGAGCCCGGGGTCTTCCTAGCCCCCTCGAAGGGGCCTCCTGCTGGCCTGTACAGCCCGGGTGGGGCGAATCGGATCTGGAAGGCCAGGCCGCTGGGGGGAGGGGAGGCGGCCTGCAAAGTTGCTGTGTCATCGCCCTCCCTGCCGCAGCCACCAGGCGGGCCCTGGCCTGACCCTGGCGGGGGTGGGGGTTCCTCTTCCCCGGGCAGCCCACCCCCTCCCCCGTGGGGCCGAGGTTCGCGCTCCCGGACCTCTACGGAGGGACGGTGGCGGGGCTGCCGTGCGGAGACCTTTCCCAGGCCTTGGCGAGCCCCAGGCGGGCGAGGCTAGCCCTTTTGTCGCCAGCTGCGTTTAGCTTCCTTGCCCAGGCGCTCACGCCTGCCTGTGTTTGCTGTGCAGGGAAGGGAAGGAAGGGGCAGAGCCCAGGTAGCCAGGCAAGGCCTCAGCCCTGTGGGGCGGGGTGTCTTGGAGAGCTCGACCTTGGGCCCTGGCCGCGAGGCGGCCTCGCCATCTGGGAGGAAGCGGTGGGGGAAGGGAGCGGTGGGGGAGGGGGCGAGCCCGCACTCCGGAACGACTGCTGCCCCTCCTCGGAGGCGGGCGGCCCGGGGGAGGGGAGGGGAGGGGAGGTGCAGCCGCCGCCTCCGCGCCCTCCTCCCTGTGCTGACCGAGGGACGCGCCGCGCCGTGGGGAGCACTGCGGCCCGGGGGAGGGGGCGCCCCGTGCACACGCACTCCGGGGGCGCTTCCGCGCCCTCGCCCTGGCAGGACGATCTCCGCTCGGGCCAGAGGCCGGCCTCGAGTGTGACGAGGTGGGTTCGTGGGGCGGCGGTAGGCGCGGGGCTGGGGCAGGTGTTTGGCTGAGGACCCGCCGGTGTCGGGGCAGTGTTTTGCTTTGGACTGCAGTGGCCGGGAATGGGGTCGGGACCTGGCGGGCTGTTGGCATTGGGACCTCGGGGCCTAACGCAGAGGTACAGGCGGCGGCGGCTAAGATGGCGCCTTTCTCCCTTCTCTTTGCAGATTCCCCGCCAGCGCCTCCCTGCCGGGAAGCGCGGCCCACGGCCACACCCCTAGCGGCTGGGGACGCCCACGCGGCCCCGCCTGGCTCCGGCCGCAGCGCCCACCCGCCGAGCTGGGCTGTCTCCAAGAGTTTAAGGACTTCGCGGAAGCGGCTCCGGGGACATGGCTCGTGCACTGCTGCCAGACTGCTCTCCCCGGAGTCGCGGGACTACAGGAGCGGCCAACTGACCCGGGGAGAAGCCGGGCGGCCGCTTCCCAGCGGGCCTATGCAGCACTCTTCTGCCCGGTGACTGACGCCTGGAAAATGAAGTCCGTGACGTCATCGGCTCGGCCGACCAATGGAAGAAGCTCCCGCGGACAGACGTTCCTCCCCTTTCCACTGGGCCTCCTTATGCGCGTGAGCGAGCACGCGCGCGCGGAGGGGGTGGGGGAAATCTCCAGTCGGGTGGCGCGCATGAGCAGCGAAGCTCCGCCCCCCCGCCTATATATAAAGGGCTGGCGCCGGGCTCGGCGGCGCCATTTCGTGCTGGAGTGGAGCAGCCTCTAGAACGACCTGGAGGATTCTGCCAACCGGTACAGAGCCTTCGAGTCGTCCGGGGCCGCCATTACAATCCACGTCCATCCGCTTGGAAATGGCCTTCGTCTCGGCCTATGACCGGTCCCGGCGGACAGTACAGACCCCTTAGAAGCCCCTGAAGCTCCCCTTTTTCGGGCCCCGCCCAGTTCTCGGAGTCTGTGCACCCCCTCTACTCCGCCCTCAAGAGGATTTCAAAGATGGAGGCGGCGGCTCCATAAACCACTTTCCGTGTTCATCCGCCGCCATCCGAGGTCGCACCAGGACCTTGCCCGCGGCGCACGGCCCCGACGGGAAGAGGGAGCCCCTGCAGACGGACGGCGGGCCGTATTGACGAAGGTGTCGGGGATCGGGGGCTGTCGGGGTCTGGAGAGCCGATCCCTTGGACAGCGCGTCTCGCCGAGGCCGCCGCCATTTTCTCGCCGCCCGCCGCCTGCGGAGCGCGCCAAGCTGTCGGAGGAGCGGCGGCGGAAAGGCTCGGTGCCGGCCCAGCGGGAAGCGCGTCGTCTGGAGGCCGAGGGCTGCGGCCTCCCCCCACTTCCCGGGTTATGCTGGGCCGGGCGGTGAGGGGAACCGAGGCCACCCGGACTTTACGCGGCTGAGGGAGGCGCCGGTTCCCCGCGATCAAGATGCTGCAAAACGTGACTCCCCACAAGTAGGTCCCCGCGATCCGGGACGGGACGGGGCGGGGGGCTGAGCGGCCGCGCGGTCCCTGGGCGCCGGCCAGGGCAGCTGTCAGTGCTTGCCCGGCTCCTGCCGGGGTCACTGCTGACCGAGTCTGGCAGGGCCGCGGCGGTGGCAGATCGTAGTAGGGATGGGCGATTTTTCAAGGGGTCAGGCAGGTCTTGCGGGCCTGGTCACTGGCGTGGTGTTTAGGGGGTTTCGTGGCCACCCCTGGTGCCCTGTCGCGTTGCCATGGTGACAGCTTCGTGAATTGGCAGCGGGGATTCCCAGGTTGGGCTAGAGGGACCATCTTTCCGTCCTGGGAGTTCCTCTGACCGTAGTTTGTCGTGCAGTTTCTGCAGCCCTGTAACGGCTGCATGGGGGCTCTGTGTTTGGTTTCTTGGGGGGATGCTCTTGACAGCGAGTGCGTTTAGGGCGGGAGGGTGGAGCTAAGGCTCCTTTGAGCTCTTCGGATGTAAACAATGAGATCTCGGTGTAGTGTCTTTACGGGTCTGGAAAACACCTGGTCCCGAAGAGGACCCGGGTGAGGCTGAACCTGAGCCGCTTGCGGCCTTGGGGTTCCGAGGTGCTGCAGCGGGTACTGTTGGTGGGGCTGTGCATTTCTTGCAGGGAGCAAGGGGGTTGCTGGCTCTAGGTGGTTGGTTGTTGGGTGGCTCGCTCTTTTGAAGAGCTGGCACTTAATTTAGATTGTGATGGATGGCGAATGTTCCCTTGTCAGAATTTTTGGTTGTGTATTGTTGGTATACTTCTGGTTATATATTCTTGGTGTATTTTTGGCTAGTTTTCAGTCCGTTTTGTGTTGTGGTGTAATTGGCCTCCGAGGATTACCTCTTTTACCCAGATGGATTCTTAGTTATCTTATCAGCATTTTATGAAGTTTTTCTCCATACTTTGTTCCCTTCCTCTTTCTCACCGGCTTCCCTCAGGCTCAACCACCATGGCAACCACCAAACCCCTTGTGAGGAGGAAGCTTGAGTTTTCAGCCCCACCCGTTTTGCTTAAGATCCATCCCGAAGGGCTGTAGTTCTCAGGTGTTGTGCCATCTTAGAGATTTTGTTTTAATCCAACAGAGCTCACCAGGTTTCACAAGGTGGGAACTAGGTTTAGGTGTGCTAAAAATAAGACAAAAAGAGCGCAGTGGGCAGCAGCAGAAGCCGCATAGATTGTTTGGGTATTGAATAAGCTTAGTCACTCATACTAGATCGGTAGCCTGGATTTATTTGGTACATGGTGCAAATGACATATTTTTCTTGATTCGGTGAGATTAACAGGGCTAATTTTGTTTCCCATCTTTACAGGCTCCCTGGGGAAGGGAATGCAGGGTTATTGGGACTGGGTCCAGAGGCAGCAGCGCCAGGGAAAAGGATCCGAAAGCCTTCTCTATTGTATGAGGGGTTTGAGAGCCCTACAATGGCTTCGGTGCCAGCTTTGCAACTGACCCCTGCCAACCCACCACCCCCTGAGGTGTCCAATCCAAAAAAACCAGGACGAGTAACCAACCAGCTGCAGTACCTCCACAAGGTGGTGATGAAGGCTCTGTGGAAACACCAGTTTGCATGGCCATTCCGACAGCCTGTGGATGCTGTCAAACTCGGTCTGCCGGTGAGTAGAGACTGAGGTTGGGAGTGGTGGGAGTGAATGAGTCTGTGTGAGTGTGTGGGCTGGGGTGGGCTCCTAGTGTAGGTGCTGCGGCCCCTAGGGACTTCCCTTTTTCCCTTGTAGGGTAGATCACTACCAGAGCTCTAGATTCTCGGTGCTTGTTCCAAACACTTTTATTTTGGCATCTTTCATTGTGCCCTCCATGTGTCCTTAACTTTTGTGCCCTGGCTCCATTTTACAGATTCCCACCCCAGGTTGGGAGAGGACCACGGTGGCCAAAATTCTTAGCTTCTTTCCCTCATGCAGTCCATGGATAGCCAATCCCAGAGGTAATGTCACAGGATGGGAAGTTGCCAGAGTGGATGGATGGAAGGTGGGTGGTTAGGGAAAGCAGTAGGGCCTTCCGGTGGGCATTAAGAATTCTTTTTTTTTTTTTTTCTTTTGTCCTGTAGTTTAATGGGGGCCGCAGTCAAGGGAACTATGTAGTTCCTTGTCTAGGGAATATGTGTGTGTGTGTGAGTGTGTGCTTGCCCAGGCTCTTGGGGTCAAGTTTTGTCTAAACTAGGCATTTAATTTTTAGTGGTTCTGATGTAGCATATCTTTATTTAGGATTATCACAAAATTATAAAACAACCGATGGACATGGGTACTATTAAAAGAAGACTAGAAAACACCTATTACTGGGCTGCGTCAGAATGTATGCAGGATTTTAATACCATGTTCACCAACTGTTACATTTACAACAAGGTGAGTTTTTTGGTGGCTCCTTACTAGTTGAAGTAATACTTGGATTCCCTTTAAGAATTTTTTAAGTGTCTGTCACTACAAAAAGTGTTAACTGAATAGTCATGGTCTGTCTTATTTTTTTCTTATTGCTGAGACAATGAGAGAAACACTGCCCAACACCCAAAATTAAGGAAAGAAAGATGTATTTATTTAGCTCACTATTTTGGAGGGTTTTAGTCCATCAGCTGACTCCAAGGCAGGGTGGGATGGTGGGGGGAGGGGGGATGCTTCAAGGCAGCAGCCACAGCCAGCCTCTTCCTTCCTTACTGTAAGCAGGCTACACCCCATGGAGGGATGTAGCACTCACACCATCTGTGTGCCCTCAGTTGAGGATACTACAAAGTAAGGACCTTGGACTCCTGCTGAATCACTTTAATTTTCTGACCTTCTCAAATTGACACAATGAACAACATCCTAGAGTGGTAAGGGCTCTTCCTCTGCACCCCAAGACAGCTGTCCAGTCACTTGGCTAAGCTGCTAGACTTCCAGAGTTGACACAATGTATCTGTTATAACAAAGTTTAAAAATCCAGAGTTCTAAATGGTGTTGTCAGATGCCAATGTGGCTTTTCAGAACTTGGTAGTCAAAGGTTACTGAAGTAGAAGGTATAAATGGTGGTGGTGGTGTCCCTGCTGTTAGAAAGGTCCAGAAACCTGAATAGAGCAGGAACTGTTTTTCTTATCAGCTGTCATTGTTTTAAGCTTGGGACATCAGGGGCCATGTACATTTTCCTCACAGAAAGTAGAAATGGGTGTCTTGGCCTGGTCTAGCACTTGAAGGCAGTGTTGATGCCCTGGGGTGGGAAATTGATGGTGTCTTAATTTCTGCTGGGACTGTATTTGAACTTTTGTTACATTGTGTTTTGTATCTCTAGCCCACTGATGACATCGTCCTGATGGCACAAACACTGGAAAAGATCTTCCTACAGAAAGTGGCATCAATGCCACAAGAAGAACAAGAGCTTGTGGTGACCATCCCTAAGAACAGCCATAAGAAGGGGGCCAAGTTGGCAGGTAGGAAGAGTGGAACATTTGCAGACAGACCTGAGGATGGGAAAGAGCAGCAAAACTTGATAGTTGTTCTCTGTTTCTAGCGCTCCAGGGCAGTATCACAAGTGCCCATCAGGTGCCTGCCGTTTCCTCTGTGTCACATACTGCCCTGTATACACCACCCCCTGAGTTACCTACCACTGTCCTCAACATTCCCCACCCGTCGGTCATCTCTTCTCCTATCCTCAAGACCCTGCATTCTGCTGGACCGCCACTCCTTGCTGTCTCTGCAGCTCCTCCAGCTCAGCCCCTGGCCAAGGTACAGAAGAAGGGGTTTATTTTGAATGGGGGAAGGAAAGGATTTTAGTCAGATGAACCTGGAGTAAGACGCTCCTGTGTTGGTTTTCTTCGCAGAAAAAAGGGGTTAAACGGAAAGCAGATACTACCACCCCTACACCGACAGCCATCCTGGCCCCTGGCTCTCCAGCGAGCCCTCCCGGTAGTCTTGAGCCTAAGGCAGCACGTCTTCCCCCCATGCGTAGAGAGAGTGGCCGCCCCATCAAGCCCCCACGCAAAGACTTGCCTGACTCTCAGCAGCAGCACCAGAGCTCTAAGAAAGGGAAGCTCTCGGAACAGTTGAAACATTGCAACGGCATCCTGAAGGAGTTGCTCTCTAAGAAGCATGCTGCCTATGCCTGGCCTTTCTATAAACCAGTGGACGCTTCTGCTCTTGGCCTGCATGACTACCATGACATCATTAAGCACCCCATGGACCTCAGCACTGTCAAGGTACCCACTGCATGGGGCAGATGGGATGCTCAGGCAGTGATTGGAACCTGGGGATCAATAAAACAATATTCATGTATCCTAATGGACACACAGCTGTCTTTCATTCTTGGTGTTTTACCTTTGTGAAGGGTAGAACATGTCACGTACTCTGAAATGTATATTGAAATTTGTATTATAATAATGGGTTTCCATGTTGTCACAGCAGCACTGCTCATGGTGTAGTGTTGGGTTAGGGAAGTTAAAGGGGTGGGAGTTCAGGGAACACTTCCTGTCACTTAGAAATGGTTTCTTTTTCTAGACAGGTTCCTTTTTCTAGACCTAGGTCTTTCTTCAACTCACCCAAATTGCTTTGACCTCAAACTTGAACCACAGGGCACAGACCCTGGAGGTCACCCCTACTGTTGTCTCAAGAGGGCTCTCGAGGTGTCTGGGGTTGGCAGGGAAAGGTGAGTCTCTCTGCCTGTGCAGCTTCTGATGCTGCCTCCTTCTGCAGCGGAAGATGGAGAACCGTGATTACCGGGATGCACAAGAGTTTGCTGCTGACGTGCGGCTTATGTTCTCCAACTGCTATAAGTACAACCCTCCGGACCACGATGTTGTGGCTATGGCACGAAAGCTGCAGGTGAGTGGAAAGGCTGAAGTTTATAGAGAACAAGGAGGTGCACTTTGGTAATCTGTGGCACATCCTTGATGTGGGGACCTTCTGTTGCCAACATCTGCAAGTCCCAGTCTGACGCAAACTGGGGCTCTAATGGTGGGTGATTGGGGATGGGTTGTCAGGCTCTGTGCTTGCATAGTTCTGAGTCTTGTCTGTCTGTCTCTGTAGGATGTATTTGAGTTCCGGTATGCGAAGATGCCAGATGAGCCACTGGAACCCGGGCCTTTACCAGTGTCTACTGCCCTGCCCCCGGGGCTGGCCAAGTCCTCTTCAGAGTCCTCCAGTGAGGAAAGCAGCAGTGAGAGCTCCTCTGAGGAAGAGGATGAGGAGGATGAGGAGGATGAAGAAGAGGAAGAGGAGAGCGAAAGCTCTGACTCAGAGGAAGAAAGGGCTCATCGCCTGGCCGAGCTGCAAGAACAGGTACTTTACCTGAGGTCTTGGTGGGTAAGAGGGTCACGCCATGTCTTGGTGGCCCTCATCATCCTCCTCTTGGTCTAGTTTCACTTTATTTATATGTTACTCTTTGTGTCTAACCCCTCTTCCCCCAGCTTCGGGCAGTGCATGAACAACTGGCTGCTCTGTCCCAGGGCCCAATATCTAAGCCCAAGAGGAAGAGAGAGAAAAAGGAAAAAAAGAAGAAACGGAAGGCGGAGAAGCATCGAGGCCGAGCTGGGGCTGATGATGACGACAAGGGCCCTCGGGCAGCCCGGCTGCCGCAGCCCAAGAAGTGCAAGAAAGCAAGTGGCAGCGGGGGTGGCAGTGCTGCTACACTGGGCGCCCCTGGCTTCGGGCCCTCGGGAGGAAGTGGCAGCAAGTGAGTTTTAATAGATAGGGTGCAGACTAGTTTGGGGTGGTGTGTTGTGTTTTGTTTGGGGTTTCCCTCCCTCCCTGTTTCTACCTAGGGGATGCCATCGCCCACTCTTCTCTAAACTAGAGTCATTGAACTTTGTAACTGGCCAGGCCACTAACACAGCAGGCTTTGAGGGCCATAGATGACAGGTTTAACTCCGACACACATTGTAAAAGCAGCCATTGGTAGTCCGTAGGTAAGGAGGAAGACTGTTCCTTTGAACTTGGTTTACTTAGGAAAACAAGTGGCTGGCCAAAAGTGTCTGTAGAGTGGACCAGTTTGCCTATTCTAAATGACCATAGGGCTGTGGGTTCCCGCCCACATAGTGTTTACTTTTCGTATGCTTTAGGAGACAGGAAAATGGTATACCTCATGAGACCTAGATGAGTCCCAATCGTTAGATGCTTGACATGAGGGGCTGGGGATTTAGCTCAGTGGCATAAGCGCCTGCCTTGCAAGCAGGCAGTCGTGAGTTCGATCCCTGGTACCGGTAAAAAGGAAAAAGACCAAAAAAAAAATGCTTGACATGAAAGCGGTGAAATAAGATGCCCTGCTCTCCAGTGGTGTGGTGGCCTGGTACCTTACTGCAGAAACACTGCGCTGCAGATAGGAAGTGAGGGTGACTGGGTTGAGTAGTGGGGGCACGTTAGAAGGGACCAGTGATTTTTTTTTTTATTTTTTTCTTTCCCAAGCTGGTAATTTTCTTCTGCCCACAGGCTACCCAAAAAGTCCACAAAGGCAGCCGCACCTGCGCTGGCCACTGCTTATGACTCAGAAGAGGAAGAAGAAAGCAGACCCATGAGCTACGATGAGAAGCGGCAGTTGAGCCTGGACATCAACAAATTACCTGGAGAGAAGCTGGGTCGGGTCGTGCATATAATCCAAGCCAGGGAGCCGTCCTTGCGAGACTCGAACCCAGAGGAGATTGAGATTGACTTTGAAACCCTCAAACCATCCACGCTTAGAGAGCTTGAGCGCTATGTCCTTTCCTGCCTACGGAAGAAGCCCCGGAAACCTTATAGTGAGTACGAAACAGGTGCCACAGGGGGTGAGCCCAGCCCGCAGGCCTCTGGTTCTCGGGACAGGGCTGAGGGTGGGAGCTGTGGGGTGGGTGCAGCGCTGTCAGGGTCTCAGCGCATAATGTGGCCATCTTGGGGCCCGTACCTTTGGGATTCCCATGGCAGCCTTAGTGAACCCAACCCTGTTACCTTTGTTTCCTTAGCCATTAAGAAACCTGTGGGAAAGACAAAGGAAGAATTAGCTTTGGAAAAGAAGCGGGAACTAGAAAAGCGGTTACAGGATGTCAGTGGGCAGCTCAACTCCACCAAAAAGCCCCCCAAGAAAGGTGAGTAGTCCTGAAGCTGCTGCAGACTACTGCTTTTTCTCGGTAACAAATGAAAGAACAGGCTTTTACATCAGATGTTCAACTTTGTCCCGCAGCAAGTGAGAAAACGGAGTCCTCATCTGCACAACAAGTAGCAGTGTCCCGCCTCAGCGCTTCCAGCTCCAGCTCCGATTCCAGCTCCTCCTCCTCGTCCTCCTCGTCAGACACCAGTGATTCAGACTCAGGCTAAGGGGCCAAGCCCTGGGGCAGGAAGGCTCCGCAGGACCGGACCCCTGTACCACCCTGCCCCACCCTGCCTCCTTCCTGTGCTGTGACGCCTCATCTCACCCCTCCTTCCCCCTCTATAGGAGAGCCTGCTCTGCAGGGGGGAGGGATGCAGGGGCATTTGCGAAGGAGGGATTGAAGAATAAGACTGAACTCCCAGCCTGTTGGGGTGGGAGTGACCTCGGACACAGCGCCTTGTCCTGTCTGCAGTGGTGGGGGGCAGAGACCCTCATAGGAGGTTACCTGAGGCCACGGCCACCCTGTTTGCTTCTGAGGCCCTGTTTTGAGATTGTTCGTTCTAATTTATTTTAAGCTAGATGAGGTTTTGGGGTAGCGCCGTGGTCTCCCTCCCCTCCATGGGGAGGGGAGAAAGGGGATCTCCTTTTTTTTTTACATTGACTTTTTTTTTCTACTCTTGTTTTTCCCCTTTTCCTTCCGCTCCATTTGGGGCCCTGGGGTTTCAGTCATCTCCCCATTTGGTCCCCTGGAGAGTCTTTCTTTGTCTCTTAATTCTAACTTGTAAATAAAGAAAATATTATTCGAGTTTTGAGTTTATCTTGGTAACATTTCTTTCTGTTCTTCAAAAGGAGCATCAGGAATGTCTCTGGGCCTTGGCAGTTTAGTTCCCATGGTGCTGGGGATGGAACGGGGAGGACCGTGAGTGAGGGTCAGAAGTCTTCGCATTGAGCCCCTGTCCAGAAGTTTTCAGAAAAGTGTTCATGAAAGGAACATCTGTAGTATCCTCTTTGGGCTGTTTTTAAGCTACTGGTTGGTTAACTCTTAGAAATAAATGCTATTGGCATTTTTGTATGAAGTGTCCAAGATAACCATTTGAGTCTGGTTTTCTGAGCTTTGCATGAAAGAAGCAGGTTCCAACCTTAAATCAGTGCTTTCTATCCCCAGCCCAGTTTTTAAAAAGTGCAGGGTGGTGGTGCTGGGGCAGTTGTTTTAGTCCAGAGAAGGTGTGAATGTGGCCAGAAGAATCAGTCACTCCAGCCTGCAGGTGGCAGCGCTGTGGTGGTGGGAAAGGGGTGAGTGCTTGAAGATTTCCCCCAAGAGAGCCAGGTCAGCCAGACGCAGCCAAAGTCACCAGGTGAGAAATCTCACCGTGCACTTAGTATATTTTAGGCACTCTCAAAGCACTTCGTAATGCTCTCGTTGCTGTGAAGCCTGTTAACCCCGGCCAATGGGTACAGGAATGAGACAGGCTTGTGTGACTTAACCCAAGTCAACAGCTGGCAGTGGTAGAAAGTGAGGGCTGGACCCTGGTGCCTGGCCTCCAGTCCACATTCATAGGTACAGCACTGGATGTGGGGCAAGGCTGTCCCCCCTGGAATCTGCAGAGTCCTGAGGTCGCCCTGTTGAACGTAGAGAGCAGTTAAAACTGGAGTGGGCATCTCAGGCAGCACAGCAGGCAGGTGACTGATGGGCTTGGGAGCACCTAGGGGATGAAGTAGGTGGACCTGGCTTTTAAGGTTGTTATCAATGCTTCCTAGAGTGACAAGACACAGAAACATGTGAGCGGAGGCCTGGTGCTCACTGCAGTGTCCCCCATGAGTCCCTCATCAGGAGGCCTGCTGGGTGCACGGGAAAGCTGTGGTTCCAGGACCCAAGGTGCAGGGGAAGATGGCGCCTCCAGAGAAACAAGCTGTCCCCATTTGTACCAACCTCCCTTGAGTGGGTCTTCCTGGACATTTGTTGCTCAAGTTGACACGGTCACCATCATGCAGCCATACTCGGCACTGTGCACTGAGGGAGCAGAGTGTAGTTATGGATACTGTCCCTCCCGGGCCAGCGCAGCTTTCCTGGGGCAGTCTAGGGGGGCCGCAGGGGGCCAGGGGGCTGAGGGACTTGCAAACCCCACTGAAGACTGGAAGGTTTTGGTGCCATCTGTTGGCTGTGTGTGTTCTCTATGACTTCCTCCTAAGGGCACATTTGTCACTTTTTCTTTGCTTATTTTTTTATTTGATTTGATTTTTTTTGAGACAGGGCCTTGCTGTGCAGTCCAGGCTGGCCCTGAGCTCATGGCAATCCTGCCGCATCCTCCTGAGGGCTGGGATTGCAGGCATGCGCCACCACAGCTAGCCTTTCCTTCCTTTCATATCCTCTGACTTGAAATGCGCAGCTCCTCTTTCCTGATGCAGAGGGTAGGGGACCACCGGCGTTTTCACTTTGTCTCTTGGACCCAAGGCCTCAATCTTCCTCACGGTCGGTCGTGGTCTTCCTGTCCTTAGCCGTCTCTAAACAGTGTCAACTGTCCTGCCTGTGACCACTCCACCTGTAAAGTATGGTGTGTCTGTCAGGTTACAGGAATGCTCTCCTGTAACTGCGATGTCCCTTAGGTTCACGCCACTCACCGTGGCCAGAACAGACCTCATCTTTCTGCAGACTACCCTCAGCAAGTTCTCTGAGAGCGACACTCCCAGAGCTTGCCGGGCACATATGTAGAGCATCTTCAGTCTTCGTAAGATCCCCAAGAGGTGGGCACTCGCCATTCTGTAGGTGAAGAAACCAGAGTCTCAATGGTTCCACAGCACACCAGGAGCTGAGCCAGGGTGGCTACTGGGTCTTCCATTTCCCGTCACCTGAGCCAGTGACCCGGCCTGGCTCCTCCCCGCTGTGCGTCCCATCGGGCTGCCTTCAGGCATCTGGGGGCCAGCCACCTCGTCCCTCATAAGCACCTACATTTTCGGGTAAGAGAGGGGCCCTGTTGTGCCAGCGAGACCTTATGCTGTGATCCGCGTGGCCATCTGGGTCCTGAGAGGGAGGTGATGGGAGATTAAGGAAAAAAATGAGCATGTAATAAAAGGAAAATTGGGACCAGGTGGGACCTGAGCTGTCTGGTGGAGAGGCACCCACGGCCCAGCGTGGGCTGTCTTCATTCACAACACAGTGAAAGGGGAAAGCCAGCCAGGGAGTCAAAAGTGCAAGAATTTGTGCTTTGCTGAGAACACAAAGCGAAACATTCTTGGAGTGGCAGTCACCAGGGAGGAGCACCAAGGCCAGACACCTGCTGGACCGGCCTCGTCCAGCCCCATGGAGGGCGCTGACCTCCAGCCCAGCCGCTCCCGCAACCTTACCTCAGCCAGAGGCGGTCAGCGGGGCGCAAGACCAGCGCTAAGCTTAAAGTAGCTGTGTGCTTTCCTAGAGAGCTGATACTCTTTAAAAAGTATTTCTCACTTCTCTGCTGACGAGGGCGCTGCTGATGTCCTCAGGGGAGTCGAGGCTGGAGGAGAAGGGATAAGCTCTGCGCCAGGTTTGGGGCGGGAGTGGCGTGTGACCGCTGCTCTTCCCTGAGCTGCAGACTTCAGCCAGTCCGAGAGTTACTGAGACTCCGCAGGCCGCGGCTAATCAGTAAGTACCTTCCTGTCTTCTGCCTCAGCAGTTCGTATTGGAACTGGCTGCCCTGAAAAGGCAGACTGCAGAAACACAAGGGTTTCTCCAAGAGCGATACCAGCTTGGTCCCCAGCCAGCTTTTGTTTCTTATCCAGAATTGCCACTAAAAAAAAAAAAAGTTTGCAATGCTACCCATCTTTGCCTTCTGTCAAGATTGTACAGAAATTTCTCAAGGTTTTCTAAGTTTGCTCATCTGCTTTTGACTCATAACCCCAGGGAAACGAACGCTGAAATGTTGTCAATAGCTTGGCTGTGACACAGGCTGGGAAGCTGGGCCTCCTCCAGGGCGGTGGGAGACACAGCCACGGTTGCCATCACAGACTTTACATCCTCAATTTGGAAAAGTGCCAGCGCTCTCCAGTCGCCCGCACCCTGGCCCTGTGTCTGGCTTCTGCATAGCCTCCTGCCTTCCATAAAGAACTGCTCCACTTGGCCCCCACCTCCTTGATGGCCTCACTGACATGGCGCTGGAACTCCAATAACGCCCAGCTTCCCCTTCGAACCGTGCATTTTGCTTTGGACCTGTTTCTAGCCACCATGACCCAACCCGCTGAGGCGCTGCTGTTGAATCTGTGTCCCTGCTCCAGCTGACCCCTGCTGTGCTCACGCCCTTCCGTCCCCCCACTGCACCCGGCTGGATGGCTCTTCACATGCGGCTTCTGCCTGAGACTGACCTGTGCTGTAGAAAAACTATTCCCCCGCCCTGGTCCAACGAGTAGCTGAAGGATGGTGAGGAAATGGGAGGACACAGGAGCACTCGTCCCACAAGTGGAATGAGGAAAACCCCATGACAGCTTTTGCTCTGTGAAGTGGAACAGAGCTGAGTGTGAATGACCCACATCGGGGCAGTGAATCTGAACGGTAGCTATGGGCATTGGCCACCTTCCTCCACATACCTTCGGGCTTGGCGCAGGCGCTGGGCCTCTGGTGAAGGAAGGAACCCGGGGGACCCCGGTGAGAAGAGGTAGATGTACAGGAAGCTGGGGTGGGGAGGTGTGCCGCTGGGCTTGTACTGACCTGTGAAGAGCATCACACATTCCACACTGACTCCATTTTTATTGTTTTTATTCTTTGTTTTCTGTTTGAGATCATAATAAAGTCTCAATGAGAGAAGCAAAAATTATAAAACTTGGTTTTGTTTGTTTAGAACTGAGCAGTTCTTTTGTTTGTTTGTACTAGGGATTGAACCCAAAGCCTTTGCATGGAGCCACACCCCCAACACTTTAAAATTTATTTTAAGACAGGGTCCCACCAAGTCACTGCACTGTCCAGCCTGGGATCAAATTTGAGATTCTCCTGCCTCAGCTTCCCAGAGTGCTGGAATTACTGGCATAGCCACTGTGCTCAGCTACATGTTAGTATTTTCACAATTGAATTTAGCTCTTGGTGTACTTTGGATGTCTGTAGTCAGCATCATGGTAACTTCTGACTATAGAGCATTATTTTTCGAAGGATAAGACATTGGTGAAGCAATTGTAGGACTTCCAAGATGAGATGAGCTTGTGCTTCGAACCCTTGAAAAAAACTCATGTGTGTATTTAATTATCATGCAATGGAACAAATTAAAAGCATTGTACTTTATTTTACTTTAAACTATTTAAATAGTATTTAAATTATAAGATATCTATTACAGAATAGTAATTATTCAATAGATATCATACATCAACTAATAGATTCAGGGACCCAACGATTTCATTTAATTTCCTACTATTTTCAAGTATAGAATAACAGTACAAACACACAAAAATTTCCAAGCCAGGCATGGTGGTACACACCTGTAATCCCCACGCTTGGGAGGTTGAGGCAGGAGGATCATGGTGTGTTCAAAGTCAACTTGGAATAGCAAAAGCCTATTGTTTTCTCTCTCTCTCTCTCTCTCTCTCTCTCTCTCTCTCTCTCTCTTTTTATAATTTTATCGGTACCGGGGATCGAACTTACGACCGCCTGCTTACAAGGCAGGTGCTTACGCCGCTGAGCTAAATCCCCAGCCCCTAAAAGCCTATTGTTTAAAAAAATAAAAATAAAAAACAACTTAATGCAGAAAACCTGGAAAAAGTACAAAGAATACATTCACACATACCTATCACCCAGCTTCGATAACTCATGATTCTGCCATATTTGCCTCAGTTCAGTGTGTGCTGTTTGTG